TTCTATATATCTAAAACTTACAATATACAATTTTAAATATGGTCATTATTTTAATGCTAGTACATTATAATAATAATATTAATCTCAACTGAAGGCATATATCAGACATCCGTCACCATTTGTACTAGATGGTACTTTTTGTTTTGTTTTGTTTTGTTTGTTTTTGGTAGAACTGAAGTTTGAACTTAAGGCCTTCCAGGCAGGCAATCTAGCACTTGTGTCAATCTGTCAGCCCTTTCTGTGCTGGCTAATTTTTTTTTTCAGATAATGTCTCACTTTGAGCAAGCTGTGATCTTCCTTTTTGTGCTTCTCATATGGTGTTAGCCAGTATGTAGAGAAAAGGGAGACAATGTTTACATTAGCAGGAAATATAAGTCAGTACAGTGAAAAATACTTTGGAAGTTCCTACAAAAACTGCTAGAACTGACATTTAGTTCAGAAAGCCCAACTCTAGGCATCTTTCCAGAAGGAATAAAATGAGTATGTTAAGATAGCTATACTTCCATGTCTATTGAAGGAGTATTCATAAGAGCCTAGAGATAAGAGCAACCTAAGTGTTGATACTTAACAGATGAGTGGATTTTAAAAAAATGAGGAATACTGTTCAGCTTTTAAAAAGGAGAGGGTACCTGTTGTCTACTACAACATGAATAAATCTGAAAAACATTAGGTAAAATAAAATAATCCAGGTATAGGAAAACAAATACTACATGATCTCCCATACGTGGAATCTAATAAAGTTGAACTTCATTGAAAAAGACAGTAGATTGGTGGGGGATTGAGAGTAGAACTGAAATGTTAAAGTGTACAGCATTTCAGATAAGCATAAGAAATGTTTTTTTGAGATCTACTGTCTAGTATTCACTGTACTAAGTAATTATTATGTCCTTCAAAGTATCTCAGTAATATTCACGTATTTCACTCTAAAAAGTTACAGATAAGCAGAGCAATGGATATGTTGGTTAGCTTGATTTACTCACACTGCACATTCCCCTTTGTGTGTTTTGGGAAACTTTATCAAAAATAGATAGACCACAAATGTGTGGGTTTATTGCTGGATTTTTTAAGTCCTGCTGAGTGGTTTCATGAGTCTGTTTTTATGCTAGGTATATACTGTTTTGATGGCAGTTACTTTATAATGCTTTTTAGTTAGGGAACATAGTATGATTAACTCAAGCTAATTAACATACCCATCAGTGATATAAAATACCACATTGTATGCCATAAATGTGTATAATTATGATTTCTTAAACACTATAATAAAAGTGAATTCACTGTAAGGAGCTTTTATGAAGTGGTGTGAAATGGTCACTCCTTGCACACTTATAAAATTAAACTTGTCTCTTTTACAAAAGGTTAATGACACATTAAATGAATATTTAAATGTGAATGGATTGATATGCCAGTCCAACTTTTAGAAATTAATTTAATATAATTTATCATTTATAGGTCAAAAGCTATGTACGTATTACCATATACGATGATGCTAAGTGAAATGAACCCCAAGATAGGGACACAAGTGTTTTTTTCTTTCTTGCTATTGTTTTTTTAACGTATTTATAATATACTATGTGATTTTTTTTGTTTCTTTTGTTCTTCCCCCATGGTATAACCCCTGTTTTCACTGTATTTTATTCCAGTGCCCTGAATCTTGTATATATTTTTCTAATTTGGGAAGGGGACGGGAAATAGCAAAATGCTTAAATAAGGATACAGGTTGACCCATTGTAACAATGTGATATACACAAAATGTACTCATTATCTTGCCCATGTAATTGTAACCCCTCTGTATGGTATTTTCACACACACACACACAAAAAACAAACTTTACAACTTGGGTGGGGAAGGAGTTGGGGAGGTAAGGAAGGAAGGAATGGTAGGAGAAAAACAAAGGAGGAGGTAACAATGCTCAATAGGAAATGTATTCGTTACCTTACTCATGTAACTGTAACCCCTCTGTACAGTATTTTACAATAAAATATATCTAAAAAGTGCTGAAAAATAAAAATTCAAGCTGTGTTAGCTAAATTCCAGGGTGTATCAGCACATAGGCTTATATTCATACAACTATGCTTGGTCTGGGACCAGAGATACATAAAGAAGAGTGCTAAAAAGATTTCACACTTCGAACTGAAAAAAAAAGACATTTGAAATTTAAACTGTACAGGTAATAATAAAGTGTTTCAAGACTTAAGATCAGATATGCAAAGACAAGACAGGTAGTAAGAAAGAATTATAGGTGATAACAAAAGGCAACTCAAGGAAGATACTTTACTACAAGCAAATGAACAAGAAAAGCAATTCAATGTTAAACCTGCAAAGTTCCCAGTCATCAAGAAAAGGAAATCCATGGCACATGCATAGGGTTACTCTGTTAACCTGTATGCCTCCAATGTAGACTAGATTAAAGGTCAAAAACTGGTCCACACTTCATCAAAATATATAACACATAATTAAAGTAGTGTTCTTTGCTTTTCAGAATTTAATGTAATCTACTTCATGCCAAGTCTTCCTCAGCTATAAGTACACTTTTCATCCTTGACACAGATTATATCCCTATCATTTCTGTCTTGCTAGTGATGTCCAGATAAAAGTCACAAAAACAAACAAATCTTTAAACAGAGTTTGTAATAACCAACAAGATCACATGATCACAATTGCAAGTAGAGAATGTTATCTTTTTCAGAGAAGCAAATAATACTGCTGTAAAATAAACTGGAATTATAGAAAGAATACTTAAGTAGTACTTTGATATAATAGCAACAAAATCAAAGTAGTGTGAAGACAATCTGACATACCATTGTCTTGAGATACCATTATTTATGGAGGTACTTAATGTGAACTTGCCTACAGCAAAATTTAATTTTGACTTCCCTCATTTACGTGAGTGATTATTCATTTCATTTGATTTTTTAAGGAAAAGTTGCTGCAATATTCTGCAGATGATTATGCAATTTTAAAATCCATTAAGGTGTGCTTAAGATTCTACCATATAACATGTACATTGTGTCATAAAAGAGCAGCCTTCAAAATGTACTTTGTACTGAACAGCTGAGGAGGGTCTGTGGCACAAAAATGAGTATAGGCCCAGCGGGTGGGTGAGACAAGAGCAGCAGGTAAGGATAACATGGTTATACCCTAGCCAAGAATGAGAAAATTATTTTAATTCACTCATTTCTTCTTAAATCAAAGGCAAAAATAAGGCCATTAACTGGAGAAAAATATCATTCAGATACAGCATTATTTGTGAAACCTTAAAGAAACAATCATAAGTACTACTCACTAGGAAGGAAATCTGGTACAAATATAAAGTTCATTCAGTGAAATAAATGAAATGCTAAACACATTGGGGTTTTCAAAAAATCCCAACTAAAACAAGATATGAAACAAAACAGTAAAAACTAAACACATTGCACATAGGAGAAAGTAAACCAAAAACCCCCAATAAACCTCATTTATAAAGCTTAGATGGAGATGCTTATATTCTACAGGCCACTTTTTTTAATCCTACTTTGTACTATGTTACCATGGTATATGAGTTCAGAAATTTGCTGTGTGTATGTACTATACTATAGTACTAATAGTACTATACTATACTAATAGTACTATACTATTCTAACAAGATTGCTTCATTTTTCATAGAAGAAAAGAGAATGCAATAGAATATGTTAGGATAGCTCTCTTCCTTCTGATTCAAAGACTCATCAGAACTAAGTGTTTTATTTCCAAACCATTTCCTGCCTACAGGAACAATATTTCTATTTTACAGGTAATACCTGTAGAGCTATTGATTATAACAGAATTTCTACCCTTTCTTTTAAAAACAGTAGGATAGTGAAAATATTATGAAAACAAGGAAACAAATTCTCATTAAATGTCAAGCCTTATTTTTATACTGGAAATATACTATAATTATATAAAATACGAACTCATGAATATTCCTTGAAATAATATGGAGTGTTGACACCTTTTATTGCTACCATATTTTAAAAATGTTTTACTATGTAAAATGTTAAAGATTAATAAAATAAACCACCCTCATCTTTTGATCCAACAATTCCAGCAAAAATTCCAACAATTTGCACCACCAACAATTTTTTCTTCTAGGATAACTTTAGGATAACTTCACATAGCACATCTTCTACCCTTACTTCCATAATTACCACCAAACAATATAAATTTGGTAGCTACCAAACTTAGTTTTAGACATTAGTAATGGAAATATATCTGTTATAAGTAGGAAATATATCTGCTTTCAATCAGGCTATGGTTTCATAAATTTAAAATTTCGTGGAAGTTTACATAAGAACTTTTGAAAGTCCTAAATAGTTGCTTTCTGTTCAAACATATTTTTTTCTATTAGAAATTGCTATTTTAAAATATAGGTTAAGATAAACTCTTAACATTAAAAAGAAAACAATTGCTTAACATATTATTTGTGGTTCTATTACATTTAAATATTTCTATTTAATAATACAAGACCATAATTCTCTGAATATGGCAGTGAGAAGGATAATCTGCCAACTAGATGTGCAAATCCTTAATTCTAAATATTTGTTGGGTAACTTTCAATGTTGCACTTTGTTTACAATTCCATAGTGTTATTTAGAGTATTTAATATAATTTGTACATATTGCAGTAAATATACTAGAGTATTATTTTAAGATTTTATTACTTCGAGGCTACTACCGTTTTTCTGTAATATATATATATATATATATTATTAATAATGCTTAGGCTACTATTTAAGATTTTCACATGAAATATTCAGAACTTTAAATGTTTATATGCATTGATGCAAATGTTCTCACTATACTAGTATACCAAGGCATTCAAGTGTTATTTGAGCTTTCAGAAATATATTCCCAGCTTTTATTGAAGCATATGTACATATGTTTTCATATTTTCAATTTAGGACTTATTAAGTATTAAAATATTTTAAATACAAATTATATTATTATCATTCCCCCATTTCCGTGTTATTTGTTTTTAAATCTTACCTTCAAAGTAACTTTGTCTGGGGGACTGTCCCTTCTTCATCGGTTTTCTAACAGAAACTTTATTTGCACTATTTTTGAATAATGCTAGGCGCAAAGTAGGATCTAAACCCAAAGAGAAAGAAAAGAAAGATCAATTCTGGGTCATACCTTCTCTGAAATGATAATGTATTTCTTTTGTTGTGATATTTAAAACAATATATATTCCATAATGCTCTATGAAATTGCAGATAATGTAGTTCTAAACTAGGTAATATAAAAAGGTAGCCAATCTTGCATACATTCTGATTTGAATACAGACCCAGTGTTTAACATAAATGACAAAATTACAAATAATGTATAAACTCCATGTAAACTTTCCTGTTTTGACATCATCACCTCTCTATTTGAGGAGTTGCTTTATTGCTTATTATTTTAATGTCTTACTTATATTGCTGATTCTTTTCAACCACAAAACTAAATAAAAGCTCTTACTACAAGAAAAAATACCCTACCTTTTCCTCTCTAAACTATAGAGAGTTCAGATATAAGAGATGGAAACAAGACAGATTAAGGAACTAAGAAGCCATAGAAAAAGATTATTTCACTTATTTTACACATAGGACAAAGGTTTCTTCTTTTGCCCTGATGTATTATCTTTAAATAACAAAGAACATGTATACATTTGCTAATTTTAAAGTGGGAAATATTCTAAATCAATTTGTTTTTAAAATAGAATGATGTAAATATAAGATCCTATAATGTTTGGTTGGTGGTAAATGACTCTATGAAATATAAAGAGAGGGAGATTTGTTATAGCTGCATGGAGTTTTTGATGAAGAACTTCAAGAAAAGATAATGATATTAAGTGCCCAATGAGTGAAATGAAGAGTGGAGAGTTATGCTTCCTGGCCCCCCACACATCAGTTGTGGGGTTGAACTCTGGCCTAGATTCTGTCCTTCAGCTCAATACGAGCACTCTACCACTTGAGACACAGTGCTATTCTGTTTTTTTCTGCTTAAGTGGTGCTGAGGAACTGAACACAGGGCCTCATGCATGCAAGGCAAGCACTCTACCACTAAGCCACCTTCCCAGCCTGAGTTATCCATGTATAGAAGGGTTACATAAAACTACAATTCAGGGCAACATAAATTTTCATAGGGTCATACAAAAATTAAAATAAATCTTACACTCTTTGATTAATATCAAAGCTACTGTAGAACAATTGAATATGAGACCTGGAACAAGATTTAAAATAAAAACAACAAACTACATATTTTAATTTAGTGGTAAAGTAGCATGGATTTTTAGAAAGCATAGTAGAGAGTCAGAAGTAATACCATTTGCTGTGATAATTCATGATGGACAATCTGATTATTATTTTTTAGCCTTCTGACAATATTTTATCCTTTCTAAATAAGATTTATTTATTCACAGACATTATATTTATGATTGAGAAATAGTCAATTTGGGGGCATATTTCATATATATGTTTGACTTAAGGTGTTATGGTGTGAGGTTTCTATATAAATTCAACATAAATGATCAGTAATAAAATAAAATATGTGTACGTGTTTTATAGAATGGACTTTAATGATCATCTAAATCACTTATATAACATATTAGGACGGCAAAGAAGCACTAGTCAATCAGAAAAGTCTTTGTGTCATGGAATGGCAAATTGTGTGGGACCTTTAAACTTGCTGTGATACCTTATTGCCATCTTGATAGACTTTTCTCCTTAACTCCCCATTGAGTCTACTTGTTTTCTGAGAAATGATAGTACAATTCAACAAAAACTGCATTGTATTCTAGTTCCAACTTTTACTAGCTGTATGACTGAGCCAACTGAGCTCACTTTCTGCTGTCTTTTTCCAACAGAGGTAACATTGACTTCACTGCAGTTGTGGCTTTAAGGGCAAGAACACTATCTTAGTAAATGCAAAGCTCAGAGAAGGGATAAAATTGTCTTTCCAGTATTACTGTGAGTTAATGAAGTGATACCTGCAGAGCAAAGCCTCATTTCCACCCAAGTGTGGATCTGGAGCAAACAGCAGCTAACAAATATAATTACAATTTAGTCAATGGTATCACTTTCAACTCTTATTCTTGGAAAATACTATACCTCTTTCAAAAAATATATAGGACATATAAGAAATTGATGGATGGCCCCATAATTGGATCCTTCTTTTTAAATAAAGCATTATGAACAAAAGCAATGGATTTTTTAAAAATGTTTTTGGCAATTCCTTGGAAAATGTTTCCATGACTTGATTTCTTTAAATGTAAAACAGGGATAACAAGAACACTTTCCTCATGCTATTATCAAGGTCAAATAATTCAACACATATAAAATATTTAGAAAAGTTGTCCAGCCCAATTTACTCAATGAAACAACTTTATTCCACAAGAGCACACAGAAAGTGCTATATTATAATATATTTTATTTCAAAAATCTGATTGCATCATCTTAAGCTGATATAAAACCAAATTCAAATCACAAAGGGATAATGATAAGAAGAAAAAACATAATAATTTAGAGGGGGAAAGTAACTTGATGTTTGATAGTCCCCAGAAATACCACTGTTTATAAAACACTAGATATAGTGTGTAGATAAGGCTATTAAAACATGCCACTTACATATTTTTGCAAGTCAGCTTTTTTATTGTGTTTACACAACAGTGATCAGCAATAACAGATCTATATTGATTTACAAAAAATTATTGTATCTCCTTATAGAAATTGCTCAGTACCAGGCAGCATATATATATATATATATATATGTATATATATATATACACACACATATATGTATATATAAGCAAGCATATATAAAAAAGTATTTCAAGAAAAGCTGAGGTAAGTAATTTAAATTACCATTGTATGTTTGGCTCTGCTATCTGTTTTTGAGTAACTTTTTTTTTTGGCAATCGACTATCAATGAGAATATTTCATCATTTACATGATCCTTTCTTTGTTTCTACAATCTTAGTTTTAATTAATTCGTATCATATCCATTGCTTTACGTAAAAATATCTGTTATTGAGACTGGCACCAGTGGCTCATACCTGTAATCCTAGCTTTTCAGGAGGCTTAGCTTTAAGGATTGAGATTCGATGCTAGCCTAGGCAGGAAAATCTCATCCAATTGCCCTGTAAAAGTGCTGGAAGATGACCTATGGCTCAAGTGGTAGAGTACTAGCCTTGAGCAAACTAAGATCAGGTACAATGCCCAACTGTTAGTTCAAGCCTCAGGACTGGCACACAAAACTTAGTTGCCATTACCCATTTTACAGCAGAGCTGTAAAATTTCATGCTAAATGGGCACTAGTACCTTACATCTGTAATCCTAGCTACTCTGCAGATTGAGATCAGATCACTATTTGAAGTTAGCCAGTGCTAGAAAGTTCATGCATGATATTCTTATCTCCAGTAAACTACCAAAACATCAGGAGAAGAGCAACGATTCAAGTGGTAGAGATTGAGGACAGCATCCAGGCCCTGAGTTCAAGCCCCAGGACCAACACCAATAACTAAATAAATAAAATTTTAAGCTCAGTTTGAATAATAAGTTCTCTTTGTCATAAAGCATATTGTTTACTGTTCACTTTCCTAAATATAAACTTATACATTTACACTGTGAAAAGGTTATTAGTAGCTTTTAGCCAGTTTAGTTAGCATTTATTCATTGAATGTTTACAAGCTACTACTGGGCCTGGCAGTAGATTCTAGGAATTCAAGGAGAAACAAGTAGAGTCTCAGCCTTCTTACTTCTAATGGATTTTATTAGTTCATTTTTTTCTGAAATTTTCCATCTTGTTTCTTTGTGATCCATTCACTTGAAATTACTTACATTTGAAAACCAATTGAATTCCTCCAGTGCACAAGCTACTTAGCCCTTATGAATTTTCTACCTGGCTTAATTCTTGACTATGATTAAAAATAGTTCAAGCTATTCTCTTTATTAAAATAAAAGCAATATATGTATAGAATGATCACTGAGGGCTAGGCATTGTGTCACAAAGTTGAAAAGACATTTTTCTCCCTCCTCATAGTCCTGCCTTCTCAACTAAATTGACCTTCTCTGTTTAATGTTGCCTCCTCTTTTCTCCATGGATATTTAAATTTGATATGTATAAATATAAGAAAAGTATATAGTGTCCATGTTCTTCACATTGAAGTACTTCCCAGCTGTTCTTGGCCATTAATCTCTACATTCAGACTTATAACCTCTAAAGCATGCTCTACTTAAGAATCAACCACCCACTCCCTTTCCATATCCAGCTCATCTTAGTCTGGCTACCAATTATGCACGCTACCCTTAGGTTATTGACCCTGCATGTTTTTAATAAATCTGTTACTCTTGCTTCATACATGATCATTTTCAATGAAATACTGAAATCTAAATTTGTCTCATTATCTGTTAAATTCTAGTGCAGGTCATCACATGACATCAGGTAACACAAACAACCAACCCCCAAAAGGAAGACCAGTCATTATTAGGAAGGAAAAAGCAATTATTTACTGAAGGACAAAAAAAAATTACTGTAATTTAAACATAAACTAAATAAATTGTGATAAAGTCCTCACAATTTTTTACTTCATCCTTTGACTTCTAGTTAATTCTCCTTTCTTCTGTCCTGCATGTCCTCTTCTCCTCCTTCTCTTTAAGGAAAATGGCTTCACTTATGCCAATAGAAATGATCAGTCCTGGGCTGGGAAGGTGGCTCAGTGGTAGAGCGCTTCCCTTGCATGCATGAGGCCCTGGGTTCCACTCCTCAGCACCACATAAGCAGAAAAAAAAAGCCGGAAGTGGCGCTGTGGCTCAAGTGGTAGAGCACTAGCCTTAAGCTGAAGAGCTGAGGGACAGCGCCCAGGCCCAGAGTTCAGGCCCCACGACTGGACCCCGCTCGCCACCACTCCCCCAAAAAAGATCAGTCCTGAGTCTTCCCTAACAACTGTCTACAACCCATGTATCCTCAGGTTCCTGAATCAAACACTTTGCTTTCTTAACGACTTCCTTCTCTACCTGCAGCTTTTCCCATTAAAACCTTGCTTTCTTAAATTAATTGTTGTCTCACATGCCTCATTAGATCAAATATTAGGAAGGGCTTGCTGATAAGTAACTTGTCCTATACTTTTCATGGCAGATAACTTGAACTAACCTTCCACACTGTTTGTTCATTCTCAAAGATCGCTGTTTTGTTAAGACTGTGATGTACTTCACCCAATTTAATTAGTAGCTTCTATCTCTCCACCCTCTCTGCCTCAAAAGAATTGGCAGTTTTACAGACAACATTGCCCCCTGGTGGCTTGAAAATTTGAAACTAAGTTTTCCATGTAAGAGGTACTTACTATGTTCATCTATTTAAAAAATGTACTTGTAAGCTTTTACATAATTGTAAATGTACTTGTAAGCTTTTAAACATTGAAGATGCCATTTCAGCTTATTAGTAAATAGAAAGTTTTAAGTGTGGGACTTACCTTGGACAGATTCAAACAAATTTGCAATACAAATTGAATTATATAATAAGGAAGGTAGTAGAAAACGTTTAAATTTTTTTAAAAAAGACAACACAGAGTGGAATTTTCGATGATTTACTCACAGATCAAAGAAAAAGACATAAATGCTACATCATCCCAATTACTAGAAGATAAATAAACCGTGATAACTGGAGAGGGCCTCCTCAGATTTTATTCTCTCTTTCATCTTCAGTCATCTGTTAACATTTATAGTCTGTGTGTTGTGAGCAGGGAGTAGAGGAGAATAGGGAGGAGAATACAACACTCTCTTACATTGTATATTTAGGGATTCAGATATTTTCATGCTTTTGTTTCATTAATCTTATTTTGATGAAACAAAGCAAAACAAAAGCATAGCGTAGGGTCTCAAAATCACACATACTGAGAAGGATGTGATTAGTCATGTAGTTAATAATTCCCTGTCAATAGCACAGTTGTCATCCTGGATTTTCAGCGAGCCAGAAAGTTGGTTATGCCTTTTTATTTGTTACCCTACCATGCCCCCTTGTGACTGATGAAAAGAAGTTTCTTTCATATCTAATTGGATCTGTCTGTGACCATTAACGCCACAGTATTTATATGTGGACTTCTAGTGCTATTGAGCGTTTTCCTTAAATGTACTATTCACGATACTCATTTATCAAAAAAGGATTTCACTAAAACAAAATACACTTTTAATTATAAGAATTAGCAAGGAAGTTCTATGTAATTCCAAAGAGAGATTCATGTGGGAAACTGACAAGGTTTTTTTTATTTTTTATTTTTCCTTAGCCTTACTGCTGAGAACTATTGAAAATACTACCAAATATATGGTTAAAATAGATTTCTTCAGCAGAGGGGCCTGTCAGCTGCACTGGACATTGATGAACGTGAACGAAGCAAACTCAAGGGCAGCGATGGTAGGGAGGGAATGAGAGAGAAAGAGGGAACAGCTTACACTAAGCAAAAGGAAAGACATGTACATGTCACCAGATTTGGAAGAAATAGTTGTATTGTCAAAGTTTGTAGAGTTCTAAGCTTTATAGACAATGATCATGACGATCCACCAAGAGAAGGTGAAAATGTGTTTGTGACTTTAACTAAGTATCACTATCCCAAAATATTGTGAAATTTATGTAAGCACTTATTCTCAATAAAGAAGTAAAAAATAGAGTTGTTAAAATAGATTTAGCGAGTTTGTTGAATATAACTAGGTAATCATCATGGAGACAATATTAGCTGAGTCACATCTTAAAACACTTTAATTTTTGGATATTTGAATTTGTCCCAGGAAATTCAGAATTTTCTCTTATTTTCAAAACAGCTATGTTTTTGGAAAGTCTTGAAGATAGGAAGAAATAGATGTTAAAGAAATAAAAGAATTCTTACCAAGCATTGCATCCTCCTCCTTTGTTTACCCTTCACATCCCTTCCCAGCCTCCCCCCTCCCCCCAATCCCAATCCTTTTCCTTCCCCCCCTTCCCCCCCCACCGACGTTGTAAAGCTAGTTTTGGACATGACAACTTCAGACTACCTTTACTTTCTATACTGACTCCCATATCCCTGAAATGACAGTGTTTCAGTATTGCTAGGGGTATCGGGTTGCATCTGCAAGCACCAGATAGCACTCAGTTCACAGAACTCTGATGAACTCGGTTGGAGTTTGTAAAATGAGAGGGTAGCAGATAAAATCTCAGTGATGATTTATGTTTTCCTGTAAAATGCTTCATTTTTTCTGTATTTTAATTGTGATAAAAATTCTGGTGCACAATAAAAATAAGTAATATCAAAGAGTATAATACTTATCTCAAAAAGAAAAACTATACTATACAATAAAATGTGTTATCTTAAGGAGATTAAGGTCTGTTGTATAACATCAACGAAGGAATGAAATGAATCACTGGTGATTTATCAATGGCCAATTGATGATAAGCCAAAGTGATAAATTAATCATTGGAAATAAACATTTTGCTTTATATCCTTTTTAAAAATGATCATACAAATATGGTTTTAGAATTCTATTGAATTAGTAATTTAAAATGATAAATAGGAAGCACAATCAGGATAAGACATTTGAATATTTATTTATACTGGTATAAAAACTAGAAATACAGGATAAGAATAAATTAATTTTGTGATGAACAAACAAGATTTTAAGAATTCATGTTTCTTATATTGAGCTTATATGGGCATAAGTTTAGAAAGGTAAAAGAAAATGGAAAGTTTTGTGCAATATGTAAATACTTTACAAATCATTTTAAGTTATGATATTGAATAATAACTTCCCATTCTCTGCTTTGGCATATATAAACTGCTCCTTGTATTAAGTAATTATGCTTAAATGATGAGCAGTGTCCAAAGAAAGTCAAATGCTTTGAAGACTGTCTTGGCAAGTAGGATAAGGGAAAGGATGCCTTTGAATGGTTCCCAAATTCTTCATAATCATAAAGAACATAAATTATGCTTCTTTTCCAAGGTATCAAGTTGTGAAGTCTTTATAGCAAAAATCCACAAAACTGATGTATTTATTGAATAATGAGGTCATTTAAGAACTCTCAATTAAACACATGAAACAGATGCTTTCTAGATTCAACATTTTCCCCAAAAAAACAGGTCAGAAACTAATTCAAATATATTCTCACAGTATGCAGCAGAAAGCAAAACCCATAGCAAAGTAGATAAGAGAGGGATTTGTTTTTTAGAAAATTAGAGTATAATAAATCATTGAATGCAATTCTCTAAAAGTTAAGCTTTTTCAAATCATTATCTTTAGACATAGTCATCTGTGCATTCATTTCTGCTCTTATTAAACATAATCTTAAATATATTATAAAAGAACTTATCTTCAATATAGCAGATAATTATTATTCGAAGAGCATTAACCACTCACCTAATTTTTTCTTCACTTTCTTTGATTTCATCTTCTGTGCCCTCTTGAGCATTTGCTGTGCAGTAGAAATGTCCTTGAAGCCCCTGGTGAAAGATAAAAATATCCAGGACATATTGAGATGTAGGGATATATGTCAGTATACATACGTGACCGAATGATATGCTAAAATAAGTTTACACTCTCTTAAAACAAACCCCTGATTAATTTAATACTTAGCTTCTTAAAAAACAGTAAAAATATTCTTTAATACTAAAAGAATATCTCCCCTGGACACATTCTTAATATGTTTTTTTTTTGTAAAATAAACTGCATACCATTCTTCTGAAATTTTCTCTTCTTTTTCAGATTTTAGCAAGCTCTTCCTACTTGTTCTTGATTCAGATGTCTGGGATAAAGAACTGTTTTCTGATCTGGCAATAGAAATAAATAACTTAACTGGATCAGCAGAGCATATCAGCACTTTAAAAAAAAACTACAAGCTGTTTATGTTGTTTCAAACTTGGAAGTAAAATCCATGTAAGTTGCAGAAGAGCTTTATCTTGAAAAGTAATAAAAAGCCTGCCATTAATTTAAAATGTTTACATTACAATTACTTGAGGCATATTTCACTCCTATTGCTGAAAGCAATGTAGCGCTGAGATTTTTATTTTCATCTTTAAATCTACCTGCAAACCAGTACAGATCTATTTGTTTACACCAGCTAGCTGGATTAACTTTTTCCAAGCCAAAAGCTTTGCAAATTGCTTTAGTACATCGATTTCACACATTTCCCTTATACTTCAAACTCCATAAAAACATGATTTTTTAAAACATGAAATGCCATCTTCTAAACATATTTGTATCTATTTTTGTTATAAAGCAGTTGATCCTTAAAAGAACATTCAACTTACTTGCTATTTAAATGTGTGTGTGAAAACACATTTTCTTTCTCATGACATGGCCCTGCTTGTGCAGCATAACTTGGAAAATTAAGGGGGGCATCATCATGTTTCAAGGCTACAGAATTCTGGTCAGAAAAAAAAACAATTAGATGGATAAATTAGCATAAAGCAAGCTGAAAAGTTCTAGCATTTTTATCCTGTTACTCGCATAGTATCGAGGATCCTCAAAAGAGAAACATAAAATTAAAATGATATAAAATATAATTTCTGGGTTAAACATAAAAGGTCTTTGTTTTAAGGGTGAAGAATATATTTTATTTTAAAAAAGTGTAGCTCACATGTATAAAATGATTAATTGTGAAGATCTTAAAAAATCTCAGAAAACAAAAACTTCAAAGATTATCAAATAAATCACAGATATTACAGACCATTGACCTCTGACTGAGAATCTTCAGCTGCTGCCCTCTTACTGCATATTTTGGTATTTTTAAAGTGCTGTCAACTAGTGATTTTAGTCTGCCAACTATGCAGCTGAGGCATATCTTTTTTTTCTTTTTGCTACTGTGAAATAAAGTGTTGAAAGAAATCCAAAATAAAGAAAAGAAAAAAGAAGAAAAAGAAGAAGAAGAAGAAAAAACCCTAGAAATAAGTGAGAGAAAAGCTACATGAAAAATTACATCTGGGATGAGGAGGAAGTCCAAAGCTTCTAAAAGTAATTATGTTTTTCAAGTCAATAAACCATATTATTAATCACTGCAGTGCAGCATAACCTTAAGAAAGGAGCAAAGATTGAGCCCTCAGAAGTTTCCATGACATGTTACCTTTGGCCAATGCAGCTGGTTTGGGAGGAGCAGTGTTTGTGAAGGGAAGTGGGTTGAATCTACAGCTAGCCATTCTTTATCTGAGGCAGCCTGCATAAATAATGACAAGAGAAGGTTCAAAATTTAGTTTGCAACCATTTTACTAAGCTTGCTTTTAAATTCCCTACTATACTATACGCATAGAGAAAGTACATTAGGATTTTCATTTATATGACATTATTACTTGCCATTATTCCAGAAGATATTACATACATCTATTTAATGCAAACACCCTACAAAATAGGTTAAGTCTTTGCATCTCCATGTTTGGAACAAAGTGAAAACTTGGTATTTGGGTGCTCTAAAAATGAGATGCAGTTTTTTTCTATGTATTTAAGTGTTAATAACTCTGATTCTGAGTCAAGTCTAAAAAAGTCCTCACTTAGCTCTTTATAATGCAAGTTAGGGCCAATTATGCATCAACATTAATATCATTTTTTCTGAAAATAAGCTACATTTTCTTAGTATTCATTTTTTTACCCTCAAAAATCACAACATTTCTGAGTGGATGGAAAACAGGACCATGGTAGTGGGTGAAGAAATATATTCAACATCATTCCTTATATCATTATTCTTTCCAAATGTGAAGATACGTTTGAGCTTAAAATTTGAAATCCTTGTTTTTTAACCTTTTCTTTCTTCTCCTTGAAACATTTCTATTCCATTTATAAATTTTCAAATGTATTATGCCTTTTCATAGTTAACAGTGTTCTATACTTAAGATATAATCATGAAATTTAATTAGCTGTATTGTCTAAGCCTATAATAAATTTCTGAGGATCTTTGTGGAAAAATTATGAACAGCTATTTTGTTCTTAAAATGTTATAAGGGGAACAAACATATATATATATAATTGTGTGTGTGCATATATATATATATATATATATATATATATATATATATATATATTTAACTCTGAGCCTGGGTGCTGCCCAGTTTTCCGAGTGATTTATTGGAGATAAGAGTCTCGCAGACTTTCCTGCCCAGGCTGGCTTTGAACTCAGCCTCCTGAGTAGCTAGGATTACAGGCAAGAGCCACTGGCACCTGGCTGCAAACATATTTTGATTTTTAATTAAAAATTGTGAGAAGTCACTAATTTTCCTTTTTTTTTTTTGGTCGGTCGTGGGGACCTGAACCCTGGACCAAGGCACTGTCCTTCAGCTCTTCAGCTCAAGGGTAGCACTCTACCAATTGCTCCACAACACCACTTCTGGCTTTTTCTGTTTATGTTTGCTGAGGAATTGAACCAAGGGCCTCATACATGCAAGGGAAGCACTCTACCATTAAGCCACACTCCCAATCCCCCCTTCTCAATTGCTTTTTAAAAGAACATTGGAAAGAGAATTATGAAACTGTCTATAAATAGGACTTGCAATGACAGACTTTTATTCTAGGTATTCTCAGGAAATCAAATCAAATCTGTGTTGTTTGAAAATGAAAATGATGAACTCCTAGCCAGTTAATTTGTGAGATTCTAACATATCTCAATTGTATCTCATTGAAGAGTTGCAAATAGTCAGTTAGACAAGAAGAATAAGCTCCAGAGCTTGGTTTCATTAATATAATAACTATACTAGCAATATATTTAATCCTTTTTTTTCTTCTGTCAGTCAAGGGGCTTGAACTCTGGCAAGCATCTGTCACATGAACCACAGCCCCACTTCTGGTTTTCCAGTTGTTTATTGGAGATAAGAGTCTCACAGACTTTTCTGCCTCGGCTGGCTTTGAACCACGATCCTCAGATCTCAGCCTTCTGAGTAGCTAGGATGACAGGTATGAGCCACTGGCACTGGGCTGTATTTTATTCTTAAACATGGCTCAGTTACCACAGAAATTGTAAAAATGGAAGTTATTTCATGGGCTAATAAACAGTATTTAGACAATTCATAGTTATTGAACATATCAAAGCATGTTGTACACAGTAAGGATATAATCTTTATTGGCCAAATATAAAATTATATAATGTATTATTCCTAAATACAGCATTATATAGGTAAAAAGAGTGAGAGAGGGAAAGAATCAGAGAAAGAGCTCCCACCAGAACCATTACGGTTCCTCTTTCTCATTCTCACAGAAGAAAAGAAAAGGTTTGAAAACGGCAGTCCAGAAACAGTGGCTATAGTTCAGGGGGTTCATTACAATTAAAGAAAACATCATATTGATATCATATTTATCATATTGATAAATAAAAAAATTGACATGAAGGTCACTTCCCATTTTACTTTGGGGAAACTTATAAAAATAATAAAAACAATGAATGATAAGGAAGTCACGACACAGGCACTGGAGGGAAGTTGAAGTATTTTATATGCACATAAATCGAATCTCAAAACGAGTGGAATTTGTTTAAGAAGGGACAAGGGATATGAAAGAAAGTGGGCAAGGGAATTAGTGGGATCAAGGTCATGTCATATACATGTATGGACATATCACAATGTAACTTCCCTTGTATAACTAATAGATGTTAATAAAAATAACTTTTAAAAAGTTACTGCAAGGGTTGCAGGCAAGGCTCAGTTAGTAGAACACTAGCCAATGATTGAAAGAAGCAGGTGCCAATTTTGCATCCTGATCTCTGTTAAAAAATGAAACGATATTGCCAATCATTTGTAATACATTTAAACTGCTAATGTTAGCGACCTGGTAAACCACATCATGAATTCAGTATACTCCTATTGGCTTATGGAACTGAAATGCTTTGTTACCTAATGATGGAAACAAAATAAATTTAACTAAATTGTTTGCTTATATTTTTAAAAAAATGCTATCTGATGCAAAAGTGACAAATAGGATTCAGAGCTTTGAGTTGTATATTAAAATTGTGAATGGCAAATAAGTGACAATGCAGATTAAGTCATAGCAATATCAGCAGATATCTTTTGGAATAAAATGACTTTTTTTTTACACTGATGAAAACTCCTAAAATGAAGACATGGAGATCTGAAGGAAGCAACACAACAACAGGAAACATGTTGTCTCACAAATGTCTGTGGCAATGGACTACAGTTTTCAGGCAAGGTGCTTGACTTTTTTTATCTAAAAAAAAACAAACAAACCTTAAAACACCTGCCTTACCACCTCCTCTTTAAGTTCTCTGAAATTCAGATGTTTTCCTTCTGCAGCTAGACATGGTCTCTGCAGCAGAGTGATCTCTCACCTTTTCATACAGATGGTAAAGGAGTATTCTTCCTTGAAAACCTTAAAGTCAGAAAACCTTGCTTTTTTGTTGTTTACATGTTGTGTGCAGAAATGCACATAAATACACAGAAAACTGAAAAAAATAGATCCTTGTGGTTTTTGTATGTAAGTCCACAAATTTTATAAGGCTCCAGAATAATTCTTTTTCTCTCTCTCTCTCTCTTTTTTGGTCATGGGGCTTGAACTCTGGGCCTGGGCACTATCCCTAAGCTCTTCAGCTCAAGGCAAGCATCTGTCACTTGAACCACAGCGCCACTTCAGGTTTTCGGGTGGTTAATTGGAGATAAGAGTCTCACAGACTTCCTGCCCTAGCTAGCTTTGACCCATGATCTTCAGATCTCAGCTTCCCGAGTAGCTAGAATTACACGTGTAAGCCACTGGCATCTGGGCCAGAATAATTCTTTAGATACTTTGTCTTGGAAATTTCTAGAAACAGATTTAATACAAAATACAGTCATAACAAACATATAGCCAATACCACTGATTTGTATGAATGCAAGCTTACTAATATTAAATATACTTGGCATTTTCTAGTACATTGAGGGAAATAAAATCTCAAATGCTAGGAGGAATTGGTTAAGAGTTATAAACATACTACTGTTCTAAAAACATATATGACTATATTATGCTTGTCACTGTACATTCATACAAAATTTAATTATTGCGTAAGAAAACCTTCTGTTCAGGTTATCCCTTAATTTACAACTCTGGGTCTGGAAAGCAATCTATTTCTAAAGGAACTGCTACCAGATTTACTTATATGTTGAAAATGAACTTGAATATTTGTGTAAATTCTGGTTCACAGTTGAGCATGTGATCAGAAATATGGACAGGCAGCTTCTGGTCAGAGAAGAAAGCATGCTTCTATTATTCAACTTGGCAAGAAGAGAAACAAAGCTATCAAATAGAGTGGCTGTCATAGCATTGTTAATGAATAGGTCTACATGTCGTTTTGTGCAATATCTAACTTGACCCAAGAACCAGGCTTGTCTCAAGCTTCAAATCAGTGAGTGTTGAATAAATCTCAGAAATTCTGAAAGTAATGACTTGATCTCTCTTTTATTATGTTCACCTTTCCCTCCCACCCTCTCCTAACACTGTCCTTTTCTGCCCAAATTGACTTTTACTATACAAAAAGGAATTGCTCTAATATTTCTTCATTCCTTTCCTTCATTGTGAATAAAATATACATTTTAAACAATGTAATGGCTGAGAACTAAAAAAATCAAGAAAAGTATTTGATTTTATATATTATTAGTTGTAAATATTTATTACATAATTTCTCTCTAAGGCACTTAATGGCAAGAGATAATGTCCCATGGGTATATCCCACATCTGCATGTCTGGTAACTTTTTTTTCTCTCCATATTATCATTTTAAGGATGTTTCCAAAGCTGACAAACTGCAAATGTGGAGAAAGTATCATAGAGAAGGGGGGTATAGTTCAGTTGTAGAATACTTGGAACAGGCCAAGTTCAATTTTCAAGGAAGGAAACAAACAAACAAACAAAACCCTTTGATTCAGCATACAGAGATTCAATTGCTAAGGTTTGTACCTGGCTCACCACAGAAGGAGGAGATGATGTTAGTTTGTAAGTAGGCTACTTCAGGCAATGTAGGTTACTATTGTTATTGTTTCTACATTTGAATACCCAAAAGTGATTTGTTAACAAGATTTTTCCATTCTGTAAGTGCTAGAGGGCATTATCCCAGTAAGGCAATAATGACAAGATAGAGTATTTCTAGTGGGACAGATTCTCTTGTGATATGCCAAGGTCCGGAGATTGGCTGGTGGGGCAGGGCTTGATGTGAACCCTTCTGAAATCCAATGTTTTTCCTCCATATTTAGATGCCATCTGCTGTGGAAGAATACATAATTCTCAATCTGCCCACAAACCTTGAGTCATTCATTACTACAATGCTGAAATAGGGATACAGCTTGACTCATTGTAACAATAAGATGTACAAGACTATGCAGCTTGGGGGGGGCGGAAGAGAGTGAGGGAGAAGTTGGGGAGGTGGGGGAGGAAAGGGATGGTAGGGGAAAAACAAATGAGGGAGTAACAATGCTCCATAGGAAGTGTACTCATTACCTTCCTCATGTAACAGTAACCCCTTTGTACAGTATCTTTACAATAAAAATAAATTACAAAAATAAATAAAAAGAAAAAATTAAAATAGAGGCCCAATACTCATTTAGTACTACAGATGATAAAAATCTCTATGGCTGATAAATTTGTCAGTGGAAACATACAGAAAAATAGAGTTGGGTTTCACTGGAAGCATCCATTAAGGCCATAGATTTTTGATATTTCTGGCACCGTGGATAGATAAGTTGCACAAATTCCTATTGAAAAGCAGCCAGGTTCTTACTGGACCTGTGGTGGGGGCTGGGAGGGGGATTGATCTTATGGCCTCCTAGTACATACCAAGTAAGTGTTCTACCATTGAGCCACATCCTTGGTATCAAAGTCAATTCATCTAGAAGCGAAATAACTAGCTTTGGAAGACTAATGATCTATAGTCTCATATTCCAAGTCTTGAATTCAATGACTAACAAAGTGGGAAGACCCTGGCTAAACTTCACTTGCTAAAAGGAAAGGAAAGGTTATGAGCAGTTACAATAGAAGAACAGTGAGTATATGTATAAAAATAAAATAATATAAATGGAATGTATTTGATCAAAATATACTGCAGATGAGTTGTAAATATCACAATTAGCTCCCTTTGTACTCGTAATTTGTAAAATTTAAAGGAAATCTCAACCAAATGAGACTCAGTGGCAAACCAGTTTAACATGAAAAATTGCTGCTGTCCGTTGGGAGCCTATCTCTTCTACTGCCAGAACCAAAGTTACTACTAGTTTAAAGACACCTTGGTTACTCCAGGTTCTCCTCAATTCTTGTACATGGATCATTGATGGTTGAACATAAGCAGAAATTTGACTTTCTTTTGGCTGTTGCCAATGGCTTCATTCCACTCAACCAAAGTCATACCACTCAGGCCTTTAACAGATGAAAGCTACTCTTTAACTGTCTGGGCTCTCCACACAGATGCTCACAGCAAGGACTTTCATACCTTGTTAGTAACAGCAAGAAGTGAGTCACTGATTTGCCTGATACTTTTACTGATGTAGAAGCTATCAACATTTGCCAAACTTGTGACAGTTTACACATTTGTTTTGTAGTGGAGGAGTTCCAATATAGTGTTTTCTTCCTGTCTGCTTCTGAAGATTGGCATCAGAGCTCTGATCCTATACTCAAAGTAGCAACCCAAGTGGTGTGTGCTGAGAAATTGCACCTCACAGAAGCAAGGTACAGTTCTTCATAGGTCTCTTATATTTGTGAATGATTCGTGAGACTTTGTTTTCAAAGGTGTTCATATAGCTAACATACTAAGAAAATACAGGGACACTGTCTCCTGATTGAAATTCGAAAAGTATTGTCAAAATTCTCACCGTATGTCTTGTACAGCCATAAAATTACACTTCAAACTTGCAGCTATTCAGTGAGGCTAGTTTTTAAGACTTCTAATGCATAACTGAAATTTTGGGTAATATCAAATCCCATATATATATATATATTGATATGAGCATGCACATATGTATATATTCATATTTTATCATATATAAGGTTTATATATGATGAAGTTTAATTTATAAATTTTTCAGGGTAAGACATAAAAATACAACAACCCTATCAATATACTGTAAATTAATTCCCAAATTGTGGACACTACATTAGTTGAGCACAAACACCATGAGCCTTCAGCTGTTGTCTTGATAAATGAGATGGCTCCTATGGTAAATAATGCTGCAATAAACATAGTTGTGCTGGTAGCTTTAGTATGGTCTTGTTTGTGATCATTTGGGTAAATGCCCAAAAGTGGGATTGCTGGGTCATAGGGCAGCTCTATGTGGAGTTTTTTGAGGAACCTCCATAATACTTTCCAAAGTGGTTGAACAAGTTTACATTCTCACCAACAATGCAGTAGGGTTCCCTTCTGTCCACATCCCCTCCAGCATCTGTTGTTATTAGAGTTCTTGATTATAGCCATTCTAACTGGGGTGAGGTAGTATCTCAATGTTGTTTTGATTTGCATATCTTTAATGGCTAGGGAGGTTGCGCATTTCTTCATGTGGCCATCCTTCTTTCCTCTTTTGAGAAGTTTCTCTTTAAGTCTTTAGCCCACTTATTTATTGGGAAGTTGTTCCTTTGAGGATTTGTTGTTGGGGAATTTAATTTTTTGAGTTCCAGGTATATTTTAGATATGAGACCCTTATCCGTTGTATGGTTAGTGAAGATCTTCTCCCAATCTGTGGGCTTTCTACTGATCTTGCTAGCTATGTCCTTTGCCATGCAGAAGCTCTGCAATTTCATGCAATCCCATTTGTCCAACCTTTCTTTGACTTGTTGTGTTTCTGGGTCTCTATTAAGAAAATTTCAGCCTATGTCAAGAAGACCTAGGATATGAAACCAACCCAGATGCCCCTCAGTAGATGAATGGATCAAGAAAATGTGGTATATATACACAATGGAATTCTATGCCTCCATCAGAAAGAATGACATTGCCCCATTTGTTAGGAAATGGAAAGACTTGGAAAAAATTATATTAAGTGAAGTAAGCCAGGCCTAAAGAAACATAGGTCCCATGGTTTCCCTTATTTGCAATAACTAGTGTATGTCTGAGACAAGCAGAATGGTCAGATAAGTTGATGTTAGGTGAAATGAACCCCAAGATAAGGACTCAAATGGGTTTTCTTTCTTGCTATTTTTCCTAACATATTTATAAGATGATTCTTTTGTCGCTTTGTATGTCCTTCCCCCCACGGTATAACCCCTGTTTTCACTGTATTTGATGTTGGTATAATTTGTGGAGGGGAAGGGAAAAAACAAATTGTTTAAATAGGGATAGAGGTGGACCCATTGCAACAATTAGTTGTACAAGACGTTATGTCGAAAAACTCTTTTTTGGGGGGGAGGGGAGATGGAAGGGTAGAGATGGTAAGGGGAAACAAAGGAGACAACAATGCTTGATAAGAAATGTACTCATTTCCTTGCTCATGTAATTGTAACCTCTCTGTACAGTATTTTCACAATAAAAACATATTAATAAAAAATGAGATGGCTCCTAAGTAGCTACTCACAGCAAATACACACAATTTAAGTAATTTGGAAAAATAGCAAAGAAATGATTTATGTCCCCAGGCACAACTAAGGATGGTGCTATACAAATTCATCATGCTACTCAGGGGACTGAGTAATTTAAAAACCAATAACTTTTAAATGACCAATTTTTTTTTTAGTCAGTCATTTTTTGTCGGTCATGGGGCTTGGGTGCTGTCCCTCAGCTCTTCAGCTCAAGGGGAGTGCTCTACCACTTGAGCCACATCACCACTTCCAGTTTTCTAGTGGTTTATTGGAGATAAGAATCTTATGGACTTTCCTGCCCTGGCTGGCTTTGAACTTTGATCCTCAGATCTCAGCTTCCTGCATAGCTAGGATTACAGGCATGAGCCATCGGAGCCCAGCAAAATGACCAATTAGTCATTTCTGAAATTTCCCAGTAAGTAAAGAGGACTTCTATACTTACTAAATATCTCATACAAATACAGAAAAACCAAGGAATTATTCTAATTTAAAAGGGAATAAGGGAAGATGAAAACTGCAACTGTGATCCTGGGTTGAATCTCCTACTAAAAGATGATGTGATTGAGATAAGTAGCATAATCAAATAAGGTCAAGTGGGCCATGGAAGTGTATCAGTGCGAATTCCCTAAGCCTCATAATTGCACTGTGGTCATATATCACTTTTACTTCTAGTAAACATGAAACAAGGGGTCGGAAGTATTCTTGTATCCTATACAAGTGTTGTATATTCTATAACTACTTTACATACTATATGAGCTTATAGAACAACAAAGAGGATGTTAGTAAATTAGTAACATACTTTTCCAACTGTCACTTAAGCCCCAAATTATAATAATAATTAGAGTAAATATCTCCACATAGAATACTGAACATATTTTAAGGGCAATATCTGTCTGTTGTAGTTGGCACTTACTTCGTCGAATGTAAAGTCCCCTAGATCTATTTCTTCATAGTCTTCATCTGATTCTTCATTCTCAATTGCCTTCAGGGCTGTTGTCAGTTTCTTTCGTAAAATAAAGCCCTTCCAAACTGCCTAAACAAAAAATTTAAACTATGTTATAAGGGGTTATAGATCAAACCTCAAACCAGATTCTCTGTGTTATCCCATTAGGAAGATAAAACATCTTAAAACTTAGTTTAATGGCTCAATAATCTGTTTTTTGAACTTTATGTGACACTTAAAACTGCAAGATAAATTAAATGACTGCATGTGTCTAAATCTCAGGAGACTTTCTTTGTGGTAAGCAGAAAAGAATCTTTAAAACTCCCTCAACTTTACATGTAGGTCAACCAATCAATTATCTGGCAATTCCTTCAGGACCCATTCTAAACTGAGAAGAAAGAGATACATGGAAAAGCCAATTTTGCTAATTTTCAAATGATTATATACAAAATAAGTCAAAACACATTTAGGAAAATGACAGTATATAAAAATGGACAAATGAAAGAGGTGATAATGTGGCCTCTAACAGTTAATTTCATTTTAAAGTAAATTTATCAGACAGCAATCAAACAAAAACATTCAAATAAAAAAAAAGAATCCTAGAGTAAGGAAGTTCTCCTTATGATAACTACAAATACAAACTATCTTAAAAAAATAACTTTAGGGAGGAGGATTGGGTGGAAGCAGGGGGAGGATGGGAAGGGATGGGAAGGGGAAATAAAGGAGGAGGCTACAATGCTTGATAAGAAATGTACTCATTATCTTGCCCATGTAATTGTAACCCCTCTGTACAGTATTTTCACAATAAAAATAAATAAATAAATAAATTTAAATAAATAAATAAATAACTTTATGAATCTCTTTGGAGCTTCAGGATATATAAAGTGTACAGATGCGTAAAGATAAACTGTGCATGCTATTCTTTTGTGGATTTTCCTATTAATATTTAAGGAACTCATACAGTACAAAAACATGTATTGAAGTATGGATTCATGCCACTTAAAAATATAAGTATTCCCGAAAGAATAGCGATAATATTATTAAAAATAAAAGTATAATTACTAATTTAATTTAAAAACTAAAATTTCAGAGCACAATAGCTGATCCAGTGATAGAAGCTTGAATTCTGTGAATATATTTTACAATTTCCTCCAAGAAAACCTTACTAGAGACAAAGTAAGAAGTAAGAAATGTAAAGATAGTATTATCATCTCAGAAAATATGTTCGCAGCAGACTTCATTCACAGACATATTTCTGCCTCCCTAGAAAAGTGTATGATGAGTCTAAGAGCCAGAAGGGGCTGCTGTCTCCAATCATCTTACTACTTAAACTATGTTTCTACTTACAATGACCACATCTTTCTTTTTACTCAACCTATAGGTTTCTAATTCAAATTATGATATTGTGTCACTTTAAATCAACCACAAAATCTTCTATAAAATGAAAAAGTAAGTATTATAAATGAGAGCATTAAATACTATGAAAATACGTGCATGTATGAAAATGTTATAATGAAACTCATTTTAATGCAATTAATAAAATAAATCTGTTTTCTATATAAATTAGAAAAAAATATATACATTGATAAGCACCCGAATGTCATATGATGGGCTTTCATTAACTATTATTTCCCCTGATTTCTTTTCCTCTATAATTCTAGCTGAGCACTTATTTTTTTTTCTCCTTACCCCTTTAATTCCAGCAATTATATTTAACTGTATCAAGAAATTCCTGTTAACATTGTATAAAGTTCAAAAACACAGGTGGTAAATTCTGATAAATCTCAAAAATGAATATAAAATATATATGTTTATATATATATTTACATATTTGTTATTTACATTTGAAATTCCCTTCCTACATACTTACAATGATCTCTACATGTTTCTGTAAAAGATATTTACATTGATCTTTATTGATTTCTCTAATATATCCTTTCTATTACAGTAACATGATTTCCCTAATGGATAAATCCAGAAAGTACAAGTTCATTTCTTAGTCACATAATAAACACTACATGTTTTTTTTATTTTTTTATTGTAAAGATACTATACAGAGGGTTACAGTTACATGAGCAAGGTAATGAGTACACTTCCTATTGAGCATTGTTACCCTACTACATGGTTTTTAAAAAGGTAGTGGGACAGTATTTTGACATGAAGTGATTCAGGTATCCAGATTTTCAGCCACTTCTACCTCAAAGATGCCCCCCCCCGCTTTCTAATTGTTTTGGACCACCAAGGGGGAAAAAATACTATGAGGGAGTGTCTGTGGGAGATTTTGTGAGGAAGATATAGAAGAGGTATGCCTATCATCCACCTACTTTTATTTGAGCAGGGCTAAAAACTGGGTAAGAAAAAAATTGCAAGGAAAGCTGAGAAATATAGTCTTTCTGTTAGGAAACAACAACAAAATGAAATGTGATGAGCAGTTTCCAGCTCTCTCTCTCTCTCTCTCTCTCTCTCTCTCTCTCTGTCTCCATCTCTGTCTCTCTCTCTCTATATATATATATTGAATATATATATATTGAAATATATATATTGAAATTTTTATTTTGGTCTTCCAAAAGCTGAGGCTCAACCCCCCAGGAGCTTAGGCAGTCTAAAATTTATATTTTAAGATGAGGGTTTAAGACACTATGTGAAGCTGGGTGCCAGTGGCTCACACCTGTAACTCAGGAGGCTGAGATCTGAGGATCGTGGTTCAAAGCCAGCCTAGGCAGGAAAGTCTGTGAGACTCTTATCTCTATTAAACCACTAGAAAACTGGAAGTGGCGCTGTGGCACAAGCTTGCATTGAGCTGAAAAACTGAGGGACAGTGCCCAAGCCCAGAGTTCAAGCCCCACAACCGATCAAAAAAAAAAAAAAGAAAAAGACACTAGGTGACTATGCACAGTAGAAAACTAATTTGAATTCAATGAGTTGAACATCATGACATATAAAAGACTCATCCTAAATTAAAAATACTGGATTTTGCTGCCTTTTATTAGAGACCCAAAGCTCAATTAAGGATATCCAGCAGAGGTATTTGTCATCAAATAGACAGCTTCATAAGGTAATAAACTTCTCTTTGAAAGGAATGAAGCAGAACTTGAATAGCCACGAACTATTATTAATGCAGAAAAAAATGTACTGTTTGTTCAGTAATGGCAGGTGGATTTTCACTGCATGGCATCTATATTCCTTAGGAAGCAGACATATTCTGAGATGATAAGTAAGGTTTCTCTCTTTTTCTAGTAGTTTCCTTGTATCAGTTACCTTCAATCCTAAAGTTAAAACTGTATATGCACTGGTTTCAAGAGGAGTACAGTACAAAAAAATTTAAGCAGAGTCAAATGCAGACTATTAGAACCATAAGGTAATTCTTAAAACTCTGGTTTTAAATTGAGCACTGGTGACCCACACCTATTATAATCTTAGCTAAGATATGTGAGAATTGAGGTTCAAAGCTAGTCCAGGCCAAAAAAAAATTAAATCCATAAATCTTCAATTAACCAGTAAAATGTCAGAATGTCAGAAGTAGAGTTTTGGCTAAAGTTATAGAGAGCTAGCCATAAGTTAAAAAAAAAAAAAAAACCCAAGTGAGAGTGAGCATCCCTGAATTCAAGCCTCTGTACCAACACAAAGTAAAGGAAAAGAAAAACAAATAGGGAAAGGGAGGGAGAAAGGGAAGAGGATTGGAAGGAGAAGGAAAAACAAAAGGAAGGGAAATAAAATAAAGCACGCATACAACAACAAACCCTAAGAACTTAATGGTAAAAGCTAGGAACTTGAGTGAAAAGGTGATCCCAACATTTTTTCTTAAATTAAGATTTTGTTTTAGCTTTATGCACAAACAGCCAAGCACTCTCAGTATCTACTTTGAAGCATGCACACACACACACACACACACACATACACACACACTCCCCCCCCACACACACACATACCTTCAACAGAAGTCATTATATGATGTGGAATGTGATAGTCTTACCATACTACATTCTATTTGACTACTATTCCACAGCTAACACTTTGGGTCTATACCATCATTACTTGTCAGGATAACGAAGTAGATCCTACTTGATCAGGTCAATCTATGTTTAAAAGCCATCCAATATTTTTTTTGTCTGTCTTGGGGTGGGGCTTGAATTCTGGACCTGGGCACTGTCCTTCAGCTCTTCAGCTCAAGGCTATGGCTCTATCACTTGAGCCTCAGCACCACATCCCCTTCAATATCTTATATCATTAGGAACATCAGTGTATTACACAATAACTTACGATTGTAAATCCTTTATATCTCTACTTTATAATGTTCCAACCATCCTGGTATTTTGTTCCTTAAACACTCTGGGCACACCACTAAGTCAAGGTCTTTACATCTGATTTTCCTTTTGCTGAGAATATTCGTTTGTCAGATATCCAATGTCTTAATCTCACACTCCAATCTCACCTCTTGTGGTTGTCCAAATCCAACCTATCTAAAATTATAAACTTCTTTTTGACAACCCCCATCCAATTTATATTCTTCCTACTTTCTTATCACTGGCTAACATATTTATCAACCACACATCTCAACAAAATGTAAGCTTGTTAGGTCTTATGGATGAGTCGTAAAGGGAAATAGGAAATGTTTAATTTGCTGTCATTAAATTGTGGTATAGTACTTTCTATAGTTCTTATTTTACGTATTTATTTAGTTTATGTTTGCTTCTTCCATTAGGATCCTTCCATCAGGAATTTTGGCTAGTTTGTTTGGAGCTTTATTTCCCAAGCTTAGGACAGTTCCTGATGTGTTTATCAAAAATGTAAAAACTATGAAGAATTAATAAGTCAAAAATAGGAATATAATCCAGGTAAAATTAACTTTAAAATCTGGTCCTGACAAAACTGAGACAACTCCATTTACTTTTCGGGTGAAATAAATATTGGAAGAACTTTACCATACGCATTTTAAAAAACAGGTTTCTAGAAAAAGCTATCAATTAGGACAAATGAGAATTGCTCTGGCTAGTTAAAGCTTAGCCAATTTCACTAATGACACATTTGAGAGGTTTTAAACAGGATGAAGTGATTTGCCTTGATACAATCTATTTTGTATTTAAATACTGTTTCCTCTGTCTAGATTCTAAGAAGCCTACAGCCAACCTATAGCAAACCTTTAGCCTACATGTCCTTGGGAACACTAACCAGATCCATGTAACCATAAATCACTGTGTCTGGGCTGTTTTTTTTTTTATACAGAATAACCTAGTAAGAGATAGTTAAGACATCTTTTATGACTAACCATATTATATGAAATTGAAATTTACCTGAATACGAAGAGCAGCCTTCTCCCGTTGTTCTTGAATAGTCATAATATTTTCTTCTTTTCCTTTCTTTAAAAAGGTCTGGTTATTGATGAAGAAATTTTGTGTAGGTACTGTTGCAGCACAGTGTGGCTTTGTGGAGAAATTGATCTTTCTGCGTGTGATGCAACCACGCCAGTGTGCCTGGATGATCACAGCTGCTGTACTACAGAACAATAGAAAGAACATAGGTTTAGTATGTGTGAATATGCAATGGTAAGAAGTTCTACATTTTAATAAGAAACACATAAAACATTATTTAAAAATGAGCAATAATGTTTTTCCTTTTGCTTAGATACAGTCATAGAAGTAAAAACTAGTATGGGCAACTTCACATCTGAGAGAGGGAATGGGCGTGTAGTTTAGACAGGGATTTCAGTACAAAAGAGTTTTATTTCTTTTCAGAAGGGGACATTATGGTCAGTAGTTTTGCTTCACAGTGAAGATACTGGGTCCAGAAAGAAGAAAAGGGAGGGATGAGAAATGTGAACAATCAATGCAGAATTTGCAAAGAACAGTGAGATTTCTTGTCATTATAAGGAAACGGCCATAGTGAGGAAGAGAAAGACACTTCCTTCATCCTAAGAGAAAGGAAGCTAAGAATTCCTTACCCGATTCTCTTCCCTAAATCACAGTATTCTAAGACCAGGAGGAAATTCTACCATTGTCCTGGGCTTTTCACTTTCCTGGGCTATTACCTATTACAGGTACTTAACTCATCAATGCTGTAGTTCCCTAAATCCTTCCAAACCACACAACAATGACAGTAGGATTCGAATCAAAATGTACTTTGATTATAAGGGAGTTCACAGTGTGTTTGAAAATTTCACTTTTCCTAATTGCAATATTTTCCATTTCCATAAAGATTATACAGGTCTAGAATACTGAGGAATATTATCAAAGAACAGTTCACAGGTAATTGTTTTTCTTTAATTTCTCTTCAAATTCCTAAATTTAGCTTAGTAAAAAAATGGAAAAAGAATTCTGTTAACCCATGATTATAGAATGATTTTCAATCATTGTATAACTACCAAAATCAATAAAATATTCTCCTTCCTCATGCTGTTGTTTCAAAGCAGCATTATGTGATAAAAGGTATGAGATATGACATTACCTTTCCCCCCATTCTAATATACTTATTGAAATTCATCACCATCATCAACTCTTATTATTTGGCAAAAATTATAATTTAAAAATGTCCATAGCAACCGGTGGCTCACACCTGTAATCCTAGCTACTCAGGAGGCTGAGATCTGAGGTTCGTGGTTCAAAGCCAGCCCAGGAAGGAAAATCCATGAAACTATTATCTCCAATAAACCACCAGAAAAACGGAAGTGGTCCTGTGGCTCAAGCCGTAAAGCGCTTTCCTTGAGCTGGAAGAGCTGAGGGATAGTGCTCTGTTCAAGCCCTACCACCGACAGAAAAAAAAAAAGTCCATAGCATGAAAAGGTAAACCATGCTTGGGAAATTTCTATACAAACTTCCAGTGAGTCTCGCTGAATCACAGACCTGCCAGGTTCAGCAAATAAGATTACATTTTCATTCTTCTGTTGCTATTCCTTGGGTCTGTAGTGTACCACATATTGTCAGTTTTTCTTGCTTTAGTTTTTAATATCATTTGGCTATTTTATTCATCATTAAGCAAAACTTCCAAGTATTGTTCATATAAAATTTCAATGGGCAATCTTTGGACTATATGCAATTAAGGAATCAGGTAAGTGAACAGTACAATATGAGTCAGAACATATTAATGCTATTTCTACATTAAAAATAAATTCAGTTCTAGTATACTAAAAGTTAAAATAGCTACTTGAAAAGAAACATGGTTTACACTATTCCTAAAAAAGGAAGATGGAAAGTAGCAGTGACCTGGACTTATGTCCTTTTAGTACCAATCATTTTAGGGGAAAACTAAATTGCACAGCTTTTCTGTTCTTGCATGGAAAGTATGTTAAAAGAACAAAAGAATAAAGAATTGATAGACAAGAAAAAAAACCAATCTTTTTTATTTCAATAAATAATTAAAGCCAGCCATTTTCTAAAGCTGTTTAATAGTTGTAAAGGGATGTATTAATTAATGTGATTTATTAATCACAAGGAATTCTACCATTTTACAGAGTTGTTGAGGCAAATAAAATTATAGCACTTTCAAATCCTTGCATATGTGCATATTAAATGTTTACTAGTTCAATATGCAAATAGTAAGCACAGGTCAAGGTATCTGTTAAAAAGAGAAAGAAAAATCTGACTATTTAGAGCATGATGTTTTTAAAATGTATATTCTACTTCTTGTTTAAAATAATTTTAATTACTTAAAAATTTAAAAGTAGAAAAACAATTTCACATTTACTCATTTTCAATTAAAGTAGACTAAGAATTAAATGTGAACAGGTTAAAATATAACAAAAGTATTCTGTAGTGTGATTAATAATTGCACATATCATGAAAATATTTTCCAGGAACTTAATATGAAGTATAGTGATTTATATTACAAAGTCATTATTTGGTTATACTGACTGAAATCACATAACATCCATAAAGCAAAGTGATTTATGTCTCTTACATTTTTGAATCCTGCTCAGTGTTTTGATGATTACTCAGCAGGGAATTCTTCATTACTGTTTCCACAAGTGGGTTTTTTTTGGTGGAGATGCTGTCTATCTTGCTGTCTTCTCTCTTCTGGTCTATTACTCTTTGCTTATTTCTTCTTTCCATATTTTCAACGGAGAAAGAGCAGCTTGAGGCTGAGTGGCTAGAATGAGTGTCAGTCAATTTCTTAGGAATGTCTGTTGCTTCTGCTTGGTGTTCTTTTGCATGAGACTGGGAGACAACATTTCCTAGAGCCCTGTCACTGTTTGGTAGGATGGGATGATATGGATGCGTTTCTGATTTGTCTCTCTTGGTCACATTTACATCTCCATGTTCATGTCTACCTCTGAATTCATTACTTAGTGCCATCAACTTGTTAAAGGAAATATGGAGTTTTTCTGCAGAATCCCAAGTGAATATATCCCTGAACAAACACATGATAACAACATTTAATGATAAGAATTATATCTGCAAACATTACAACTTGTATAGATTATTATATGCCAGAGATGAACATTAAAAGTAACTGCAATATGTATGTGAGTTATTTGTAGCTATTTACTCAAAAATTGATCTAATTTTAAAATTGTAACTATTTGTTAAGTTTACTTATGTATCAGTCCAGACAAAAATGCCTGGACATTTTAGGGTCATTTTTATTGAAGGTATTTTTGGCAGAAATAAGAAAAAAAAATCATGCTTTGATTATAATAAACATCAGAAATTGTGGTGGCCTAAATTTGAAGACCTTACTTATAAAATAGATATGCTTTCTACATTCGCATTTGCCACAGCAAATATTTGTACTGGACATTTAAACAAAGACCTTATATTATGGGAAAGTTTTTATTACTATTTTTCTCTGGAAAAACAATCCATATTTCAAATATTTCAAGACATAAATGAAATTCTCTTGAACAACTGTTTAATCCCTATCTTTTAGATTCTAAGACAAGCAATTGAGTAGATGTTTATGTTTCCCATGAACCTCCCAGGTTCTTGATTACATTTTTTTCTTGGTTTATTTCAATTTATCATAGTTTATTTCAAATTTTACTTATTTCAAGTATAACGATGTTGTTTAATGGTGAAGGACTTGCCTAGCATGCGTGTGCCACTGGGTTTAATCCCTAGCACTGAAACTGTTATTAATGAATGAAACTTTACTTATTTCAACATTATATGTCCTAACTATATTAATATATAAACACAAACTGGCTTATTTCCTCTGAAGTAATGCAAGGATATTTAATCACAGTAAAAAAATGAAAGTGACAATGAGGTCCTGGAATGGAAAGAAACATTTTAATTCCTAATTAAATTGTGATAGTAATTATTACTCAGCAGGTCTAATCGTTAAATCACACATTAAAATCTATATTTGAAGATAAATATGCAATAGATCCTTCTTACATAAAGACTTGTACATTAGTATGTACACATAAGGAAATATTAATTTAGATTTTCACAAAACAATTATAATTTGATGGGCATTAAAAGTGAATATTATTTCTAGAATAATTTAAATTGTTTTTCTACAAGAAAATAATTTTCCATATGAATCAATTAAAAGGATTTAAACAGAAATTTATCTCATGTAGGATAAGTGTGTATGACAGTATAAACAATAATTAAAGCACATAATTTTGTCATTAACCTTAGAACTGAAGAAATACATATATACAGTTCTAATAGTTATAATATAGTTATTCATTGTGAATACATAAAAATATAAATGATTTTTCTATTTTATTTGCATTTTCTGAGACAGTGCAGTTTTAAAGACTCAGTTATAAAACATCAGTTATTCATTCACTATAATAGATTCTGTATCAAGTTTTGGAGAAAAGAAAGATTTCTTTCTTCAGTATTAGATTATGACTACTTTCAGCTTCTGTCCTCTGGATATAGAGAAGCATTGTTTGCTTTTCTCTACAGTGCACCCATAACACCATGTATAAACGCAATATTTGAGGAATAGTCACCTTAAAAATGTAATGAATGTCATATTTGCTGTACTCCATTTTAATTTTTGTTTGTTTCTTACCTTGTTTAACTTTATGTTGATCTATGAATTATCTGGAAATATACAATATTGAGCACATAATTGTTGACAAAGTTCATGACATTATTTTATGTTCAAAGTACATGTTGATATGTTCTAAGAGTAAAACTATGATGTGATGCTAGAAGACTTTTTTTTTCTTTTTGGCCAGTCATGGATTTGAATTCAGAGCATGGGCACTAACCCTGTGACTCTCTGTACTCAAGGCTAGGGCTCTAATATTTGAGCCACAGCACCACTTCAGGCTTTTTTTTTTTCTGCGTAGTTTATTGGAGTTTAGTCTCATGGACTTTGCTGCCTGGGCTGGCTTCAAACTGTGATCCTCAGATCTTAGTCTCCTGAGTAGCTAGGATTACAACGTTCTGTGCCAAAAGATTTTTAAAGTTGGAATATCCTCCCAAACACACCATCTTTCATCAAAACTAGTATGGTTGTGATAATCAGAATTCTCTAAATTATGCATATCCATTACATTATTTTATATATAACAGGAATAACCTAATAATTATACCAATTTCCAGTGGCACAGTTTTCAGACAGTGAGGTGAGTTCTTGAATCTGGTGCTGACAAAGATCCAGGAAACATACTGATTCCAGCTGGTGGTGTTCTGCACTGTGGGTTTCTGAACAAGAGGTCAGCGTATCACCATTGAGGATGCTCAGAGTGGGTAATATTTTAAGTAGGGTTTGTCTAGTGGAAACACACAAGGCAAAACTTGATTAGACAATATTTGATTGGAAGATTTTAAATAAATCTCCCTAAAATTTAGCTTTCTTCTTGGATGAAAATTATAAAATACTAATAAAATATACTAAAGAAGAATATGAATGGACAGAACCACCATGTTCATGGATAGGAAGACAGCATTGTTGCCAGGCCAGCTCTTCACAATTCAATTTGATCAATTAGAATCCCAGTACAGCATCTTATATATATTCTCAAATTGATTCTAAAGTTTAGAGAGAGAGAGACAGAAGACCCAGAAAAGCTAACACAATATTTGAGGAGTACAAATTGAGAGATCTGACACTGTCTGGTTTCAAGACTGACTATGAAACTGTAGCAATCATGGTGAAAAAAAAAATCCAGAATAGATCAGGGACAAAGAATCGAGAAGAAGAGATAAATATATCTGCCTAATCATTGATTAAATACTGGCAGGAAAGGGAACAAAGATAATTCTTTTAGCAAATGATGTTAAAATGATTGAATCTACAGTAAAAACAAAATAACATAAGCGTTGACAAACCTTAGATAATTCACAGAACATTAACTCAGAGTAGACCATAGGCCAGGCTTTGGTTACTCACTCCCATAATCCCAGCTAATCAGCAGGCTGTGAAATGAGGATCAAGGTTCAGAACCAGCCCACACACAGGAAAGGGAAAGCCCACGCGACTCTCCTCCAATAAAATACCAAAGAAATAAAAATGGAGCTGTGGCTCAGGTTGCATAATGCCAGCCTTGAACCAAAACACTGAGAGAGAGTCCAGGTCCTGAGTTCAACCCCCGGACTGGCACTCACCCAAAAGAAAAAAAAAAGTTTATGGATCCAAATGTAATATACAAAAGTATAAAACTTCTAGGAGATATGATAATGCTATTGCAAATGGTACTACATAATCACTCACATAGAAATTGACACCAGATTAACAATAGAAAAACTTTTTTTTGACATGGCTACTGATAAAGGTATCATCAGGTAACATTTTATTTGTAGAGAATACTTATGAAAGGGTTAAAAAGATGTGGATTTTTATATTGGAAATATTTTGAGTCATTCATAACCTTCACAAACAAAACTTCCCAGTTTATTTTCAGCAAGGTTATTTTAAATGTACTTGGATATCAATATGTGCTTGGCTCTTCAAGACTGTAGCAATATGTTGAAATTTATAATTTCACAGATTGGATTTGCTGATTTATTTTAACATTTTTCCAATTCCTTTTTGTTTAAGGAACAGTCTTCAAAACCCAAATACGAGAACATTAAGTTTTGCTAAAGTTCTGATTTACTAGAGTTTCTGATGAACATATTAGAAAGTGCTGTTACAAGTTGATTAATGTGGGGAATGAAGTATAAGAATACTGTGAGATCTCAAGATTAGTTTTTCCAGCTGGGCTCCTCCCAGACATGGGCTGAATCAATATTTCATTTAGTGAAAACTTCCTGGTGCATATTCTGTCACTTAAGAAACTCTATTTATCATTAATGAGTGAAGGGAATTCCCATAGGAGATTTCAAACTGAATCTGAGGATTATACTTTAAAAAGAGATTTTTTTTTTTAGTACATCAGTTTTGTTGGTGCTATCACTGGCTAGACATGAAAGTAAGAAGCCAACTGGGAAAACCTATAACTAATCCTTTGGTTGGCATCAGGGGTAATGTAAAGTTCATTGAAACAAATAGCTGAAAGCTTGAGTTGGTCCTTTCATTAACAAATCCATATTTTAAATTTTTCTATATTTAAATCTTTAGGAAACATGTATCTCTTCTTCAGGAGAATGAAACATAGCTTAGATTAACTGATCTAAGTAAAAACTGACAAGTATGATTTCCAAGTTGGGATTACTCTAGGCTGGCAATGTTCATGTAAACACAGTAATTTTAATATCAAGTTAATTGTATATATAGCCTACTCATAGAATTGTTACTAATTTTCTTTCATGATTGATTGTTTCTCATTAAATATTTTTTAAATAATAAAGTATATATACTTATTAAGGGCAGTAAGTGGGGATATTAATATTTATACAGTTTAGAAAAAGTAAATCCTGGCTCATGATTATCAGAATAGATGCCCAGGAGTGGTATATCTGGGTTGTAGGGAAAGCCTATGTTTAGTTTTTTTGAGGAACCTCCAGACTGCTGTTCGGAGTGGTCACAGATGAAAGTGAACTATACAAGTTATGGATGGAGATAAGAGAGAGGCACTGGGAGAGAATGTAAGAAGACACTGTATGAAAGGAAATGCACTCATTACCAGACTTCTGTAAATGTAACCTCTCTGTACATCACCTCTATAATAACAAGAAAGTAAATAATAAAAATAATATATTTTCTGATGTACATACTTTACTAAAATAAGTTAATGCACCATAAAGACAAATGATTTTTTAATCCAAAAAGTATCTGGGATCATCTCATGGGATTGTTTCTAGTTATATGGCTTATATGCCAGTTGTCTAGTTGTGTAATGGAAACTTACACCTTTGTCAGGAAAAAAAATGTGTCCTATTTGACCAACATAGCCTATAAAATCATATCCTCCTAAAAACTTCAGGAGCATGTAGTGGATGAGGTGGTTCTCCTCCTAGCAACCAGGAATTAAGATAGAAAGAGAAAGCAACAATTTAAATTTTATGAACATGGCATAGTCCTAAGATCTTACTCCTTTTAATTAGGTTCCAACTCCCAAGTTCCCATCACCAGCCAAAATCTCGTAAATTTATAAACCCATCAATGGACTAATCCACTTTGATGTCAGAGACCCTCACAGTCCAGTGACTTGCCTCTCTGAACATTGCTGTACTGGCATCCACACAGGAGCCTCTGGGGGCCAATTCTGATGCAAACCATAACAGATGATCTATCAACAATTATCCATCACAGAGTTCATTACCAGCACTGTCACTTGCCAAGTGGTGCCTTTAAACACATAAAAATGCTCTTCTTTTAGTATTAACTCTGAGATCTGGTACGTAATTTAAAGCCCCCATTAGTAATTTAAGTGACAATGTAAGAGAAGCACAGAGTTGTGACATTGATGCAACAGGATGGAGACTTTGACTGCTTCTATTACAGATCATAAGGAAGATGTCTAGAAATATATTCAAGTCACCATTTCACAATGGACAAAAAGCTTAAATTCCTGATCCGTTATAATTTGGAATTAATTACACACTGCTATGTCATTTAGTAATTGATTATAGAGTTCAGGTTCTCAGAACACTTGGGAAATCTGTGAAGTACCATGTGATTGGGGAGGGGAAGGGAAAAAAACAAAATGTTTAAATAGGGATACAGGTTGACCCATTGTACAAAACACTGTTGAATAATGAACTTTACAATTTAAGGTGGGGGTGTAGTTATGGAAGTGGGAGGGAAGGGTTGGTAGGGGAAAAACAAAGGAGGAGGCAACAATGCTTGATAAGAAATGTACTCATTACCTTGCTCAAATAACTGTAACTCCTCTGTACAGTATTTTCACAATAAAAAACTTCCTAAAAAAGACTTTATTTTTGGAATTCCTGACACTGATGATTATTGAGAATGGGCATTAAAACTATTAACTTATAAGAATTAACATTTATTATCACTAAAGTAAAACTGGATAAATTTGATAGGAAAGTGGAGAGAAACATGAATATTTGAAATATTGGACACTATAATTTAATTAACTGTTATAATTTACTTCATCACAAACAGGAACAGGTTTTTATATCTGTCACAGAGTAGGTATTTCCATTGGCACTATGCAATCATTTGCAAAACAGATGCCCAAATTTATTACCAATATATTACAAACATAATTTTCACATACCCACATATCTGAAATTAATAAGTTAAACTATGCTTTTTGTAAAAATTTAAGGCTATGAGTAAAATATCTCAAGCATGACTTAGTGAAATAATAGCACACACCTGTGAGATTGAAAATTCTAAATTGGACATAGACAAATCATTTTGGTATGTTAGGATAAAAATAGGCAAATTAGTACTGACCAAAGAATTTATAAGAGAAAATTATCTAGGACCAGTATAAAGCTATTGATTGTACAACGATTACAAGAATGGGTGTAAGGAATGACTTTTCACAAGCTAACGCTGAAAGGACAAACTGACCTCTGGGAAACAATTCAGAAAATAGGCATCAAAGCAAAGGGGCTAACCTAGTAATGGTCTGAAGGTCTCATTGAGATTGTCCTCACATAACCTAAGAACAAGCACTGAATACATGTCACTAGGTAACTTAGCTATTGAACACCAAACATAAGATCAACCCTGAAAGAATATACAAACTTAAGCACTGACAGTGAAGATTTATGTTGTCATGAAAAATTGAGCAGGTGTGCAAAAAGAAAAAAAAAGTCATTGCATCACAAGTGAGGAAAAACTCAAAGAATAATTGACTGGAAAATGAGAGGAATGATGTAAATAACTGAAAAGAAAGTAGAATATCTTTATTTACTTATTTATTTATTTACTATTTAGGAAGATTTGAGGAGAAAATAATATTACTTAGAATTTATAAATATGTATGAATGCATATACTTAAAGCATTTGAAAAAATGAAGAAATACTCTGGATAAGAAAATTGTAAGTGCCTGATGCTAGTGGCTCATACTTGCCATCCAAGCTACTCAGCAGGCTGACACCTAAGGATTGCAAACCCAAGCACACATATCTGAGAGACTCCATCTCGAATTAATCAGAAAAAAAATCTAGAACTTGAGACACAGAACTATTGTAGTTACAGTCATGACCAAAAAACAACAGCATGAGATCCTGAGTTCAAGCTCCAATAGCAATACATGTGCACGTGCGTGAGCATGCGCACACACAGAGACATATATTAAAAAAATAATACTTGAAGACACAGTAACTGAATCTATTTAATAAAGTGAAGCACACAGAAAAACAAGAAAAGTAAGTTGAAGAATACAAGAACAATGTTTGCTGAGAATATATCAAGCAGTTTAATATTTCAACAGAGATTCAAACAATAAACATATATTCAAAAATGTCTGGATATATAATGGTCAAAACTTTACAAATTTCATGTACTCTATAACTCTACATATCCAAGAAATTCAGAAAATTTTAAGTAGAGAAAACCTAAATAAAACATGTGATAATAAAAATTACTAAATATCATTGCTGAAGAGAACTTAAAAACCATCCAGAGAAAGAGAAACAAACACCAGAATGTTATCAGATGCCTTAGCAGAAACATGATCTAATGATCATAACTAGAAAGTGGAGAGATGTTTCAAGTTACTAAGGGAAGTAACTGTCTGAAAAAGGGCATTTTTAAGCTAACAAAAAGATTTACTATCTTAATGGTAATAGTTTTCATATTCATACTCATGAACAAAACATAAAATGCATTTACTATAAATTGTAATAAAATGGCTGGTTATTTTTATTATTATTATTTTATTTTTTGTCAGTCGTGGGGCTTGAACTCTGGGGCTGGGCACTGTCACTCAGCGCTTCAGCTCAAGGCTAATGCCCTACTACTTGAGCTACAGCATTACTTCCGGCTTTTTGAACCCAGGGCCTCATGCATGCGAGGCAAGCACTCTACCACTGAGCCACCTTCCCAGCCCATGGCTGGTTATTGTTAAAAGATATTGGTTAGGTGAATGAATACTTAATATATTATTAGTTTTCTTTTTTATTGGGGGGGGGTTTGGTCGTGGGGCCTGAACTCTGGGCCTGGGAGCTGTCCCTCAGCTCTTCAGCTCAAGGCTAGCATTCTACCACTTGAGCCACAGCACCACTTCCGGCTTTTTTCTTTTTGCTTATGTGGTGTTGAGGAATCGAACCCAGGGCCTCAGGCATGCAAGGCAAGCACTCTACCACTGAGCCACCTTCCCAGCCCTTAGTTTTCATTTTTAATTCAAAGTTGATAATTATATGGATCCATGGGGCATGTTGTAATATTTTGACATATATGTACAAAGTGTAATGATCAAACCAAAATAACTAACATGTCTATCAACTCAAACATATCCCATTCCTTTGTGTTGAAACACTTGAGGCCCATTCTTCTAGATATTTTGAACACCCTACTCAGCTTCATCTTTTAAGAAAAGTTTAAAGTAATAGATTTGGTTATTATCCTGATTTCATCAGTATTTCCTGTGTTCTAGAATCTTGAATGCATATTTCATAGGTTTGTAAAACTGCATGTCAATTAAAATATGACAGAATACATAGCCAAAAATATTTTACATGGCAAGCTATAGGACTCAAGAGAGTAGTTCTCAGCAAAATTTTTTTCTTTAATTCAAGGTATTATCAATAAATTTTAGTGTTTTAGATTACTATTATATTTTCAAATTTCTGTTAGTTCATAGGCATGCAGAAAAATTGTCAGGCTAAATTAGCTAATATTACAAAATTTTATAATGATAATTTTAACTTATTTTTTTAATTTAACTTTTCTTTTTTTTTAGTTGTACCATTTTTAATTCTTTTTTTTAATTTTGAAAATACAATACAGAGAGGTTATAATTACATGGGCAAGGTAATGAGTACATTTCTTTTATCAAGCATTGTAGCCTCCTCCTTTGTTTCCCCTTCCCATCCCTTCCCATACTGCCTCCCCTTCCCCGCCTCCCCTATCCTATCCTCCCCTCTCCCCCAAAGTTGTAAAGTTCGTTTTTCCATATAACGACATGTACATCTCATTGTTGCAATGGGTCCACCTGTATCCCTATTTAAACGATTTGTTTTTTTCCCTTCCCCTCCACAAATTATAACAGCATCAAATATAGTGAAAGCAGGGGTTATACCGTGGGGGAGGAACATACAAAGCAACAAAGAAATCATCTTATAAATATGTTAGAAACAATTGCATGAAAGAAAAAAAACATTTGAATAGTTATCTTGGGGTTCATTTCACCTAACATCAACTTATCTGACCTTTTCTGCTTGACTCAGACATACACCGATTATTGCAAATAAGGGAAACCATGGGACCTATGTTTCTTTGGGCCTGGCTTACTCCACTTAATAAAATTTTTTCCAAGTCTTTCCATTTCCTAACAAATGGGGCAATGTCATTCTTTCTGATGGAGGCATAGAATTCCATTGTGTATATATACCACATTTTTTTGATCCATTCATCTACTGAGGGGCATCTGGGTATTGTCCATTAAATAAGTGGGCTAAAGACTTAAAGAGAAACTTCTCTGAAGAGGAAAGAAGGATAGCCAATAGACACATTAGAAATGCTCAACCACTCTAGCCATAAAATAAATGCAAATCAAAACAACAGTGAGGTACCACCTCACCCCAGTTGTAATGGCTATAATCAAGAAGTCTAATAACAACAGATGCTGGAAGAGATGTGGCTAAATTAGTACATTTCTTATCAAGCATTGTTGCCTCCTCCTTTGTTTCCCCTTGCCATCCCTTCCCATCTTTCCCCCACCAAGTTGTAAAGTTTCTTTTTCGATATAATGTCTTGTACATCCCATTGTTTCTTGACTATTTCCAATTTTTATAAGAAAAAGATGACCAGTAGTGAGAAAATGCTTCATTACCTCCAGTTTATTTCTTGAAGGAGTGGGTTTCCAGTCAGAGAGAGTTCACAGAGAGAATAGCATTCATTAAACCATTTTTTCACACTTGTAAGGTCTACAGGAAATCAACAAAATCATTATGAAAGGTATCACAGATAAATATTATGAATTACTTACCATTTGTTCATTCATTAGCTATTAAAGTGAAGTGATTTTTTTTTGCAGAATATTCTATGCTTTTGGAAGCAGACTTTCTGAGATTTGAAGACAGACTGCTGTCAGACATGTTTCTAACATTTGCCAGCTGTGGGAATTTAGGAAAGCCTGATGTATAGTCTAGGTTCAAAACTTTTTCATATGGGAAGAATTAAGATTTTAAGCACAAAACATTAAGTGATATTTAAAGTAATGTATTAGTGTGGAAAATTGAATATATATGCACATACAATTAATACACCAGTTACAAATACACGTTTGGTGGCTTATATAAAAATAGTTAATAAGACTGGGCATGACACCTTTGGCATTTATTATAGGTGGTGGCTTATATATGTATCTTAGTTACTTAGGAAGCTGAGATCTGAGGATAGCAGTTTGAAGTCTACCTGGGCAGGAATGTCCATGAGACTCAATTTCAATTAACCATCAAGAAAGCCCTCAAGTGATAGATAGAGCACAAGCCTTGAGCACAAAAATCTCAAGGACAGCACCACAGTCCTTGAGTTCAAGACCCAGGCCTGGTACTGAAAAAAACAACCAAACAAAAGTTATTAAATGTATCTTATATTACCCTAGAATACCCTACTGACTGCTTTCTTACAGAAAATTTCCATGACACTAACTACAAATATATAAATCATTATAAGTATCATTAAATACATATATTCTAAACAACTTATCATATTTGGAACAGAAACAAGAATCTATTATTTTTAAAAATCTAAATATTATTTTAACTTACCAGACAGACAATTGTTGCTAACATCTAGCTTTTCCAAAGAAACAAAATGAAAAAGTGGTACAATTGTTGTTAAACTGAAAAGAAAAGAAAATTAAACATTTTAAGTGGGCCTATTCTTAACATTATTCATATACCTATGAAACAATTCATTTGTACAACACAATTGCATATTTATGTAAATTGTATGTGATTACATATAATTTAATTGTACAATACAATAGAACATTTACTAACAGTACTTAATAAAATATAGTCTTTTAAGAGTTTAAGTAATCCAATTATGGAAGATTTCTGTTCATTTTTAAAAAGAAATTACCATGGAACATTTCCATAATGGGAGATTTTAATTCATTTTAAAGAGAAATGACCATGAAATTTCCAATTTTAGTCACAAATGCCATTCACTTTGATGTGTATTTGCTACTCAGTTTTAGTATTTCTTTGTTTTGTAATTGTTATAGTTATACAGAATTTACATTTGTTATTGTTTTCCTTCTTGGCTCAAACATGACTTAAACTTAAGGTACAGAAAATCACTTTGTAACTGGATACCTGAATAGTTTCATTGATTTTGACTTTAATTGAATCACTTCTTTGATTACTAGACTGAAAGTATTATAAATAGTTTAAGTATACAAAATTATATTGGACTAAATTCTAAATTAGAAATTTGCCTCATACTTTATAAATCTAAGGAAGAGATTATTATAAAATGATTTATATCAATGAAGCAGATTTCAATTTGGCAGAAATGCACTGATATTTAAAATAAGCTCAATAATGTATTTAAAATTCAAAGAATAAAGTTTCCTCTACTTTTAGTACTCATCCTTTCTTTTCTTTTTTGTCTGTTGTGGGGTTTGAACTCAGGGCCTGCAAGTCTCTTTGTGCTCTCCTCTATTTTTAGAACTTAAGAAAGTCACTTTCTCAGTTAAAATTGTCATTAACAATCCATATTCAAGCAAGAAACATAAATGGTATAGAAAATGTTCAAATCATCAGAAACAAAAGATCATAAGGAAAACTTAACTTTAGCCTGATTCACATTTTCAATGAGGTAAGTATATACTTATTCTTCAACCTGATTATTGCTACTTTGAAATTAAAATTAAATCAATTTATTTGAATCTTTAAACATGACAAAACACTCGTGCAAGAGAAATTAAAAGTCTTTTAAATTAATTTAGCCCCACAATGGGCGAATATTATAATGATTCAAATGGTTAATCTAAAGTAGTATTTCTGGTGGAAAAAATACAATTGTTTAAATTCCACTTCTATATGTCTTTTTTCTCCATTTGTTCTTGCAGGTTTATCTTTTATTTCTGTGAACCCTGTCATTGTTTATGTTATTGTTTGGGGGTTTTAGGTTGTTATTTAGAAAAACTATTATTATTCCAATGCCAGAATTCACACAGTAACCTGGTGGCTGAAAACCTCCTGGGATTTGAATGCCTCTGACTGCTGAGCACAAGAATAACCCTGTACTGACCTTGACCCTCTCCTGTTCATCCCTGTTCTACATTAGCAGAGGGAAAGAAAATACTACTGAGAAAAAACAGACTAAATAGTGAGGTTGAAATAAAATATGTCCTCAATCCCAAAAACAATGGTAGTTTTATTTTTTCTAATTTTGTTTGATTTTATTATTTTATCTTTAAAATTTATTTTTAAATAGTTGTATAAAGAAGTTCCCACTTAATAAAGCATCTTGATCAATGTCACCCCTTTAAATATTCTCACCCATCTCTCCCTTACTCATTCCTTTCCCTCACTCTTCTTAATTTTGTAGGAAATAAACTGAATTCTTGACTGCTAGTTTTCATATTGAAAATGTTCAATACTACTTTACAACAGTTTCCAGGAAGAAAGTCCAAACTACTAAAAGAAAATGTGAGAAAATATTGGATATATATAATAGTAAAATTTACTGAAATAGCACCCGGACCTGGAAGGTAAGAATGGAAAAGAAAAGAGAGGAAGAGAAGGAGAAGAAAAAAGAAAGGAGAAAAGCAAAAATGAGAAGGAATGAAATTAAAATCTTGTAGATTCATAATTATTGGATTTTGTTTTATTTTTTAATATTTTTTCTGGGTGTTCTGGATTATTATTGTAAGCAATACATTTAAATTGTCAAGTCAAAATATAAGGTTCTTATTAATAAGAAAATTTTTATTTGTGTTGTAATACATTGTATATATGCTGTACCTAAATCTCTACTCTACTAATGTAATTATTTTAAAAGACTAATGGTCAATGACATGTTAAAGCCTTAAGAATAATGACTTATTATTTCAAACTAGTTCATATTTTTAAAGAATTCATAATCTAGTGATATTATTCGAAAGAAATTCAGAGGAAAATAGATTTAGAATGTTTTAAAATCAATAAATATTCCTTTTGAAACGATCGACTGACAAAAGAAATACATTATAACAAAGTTAACTTTGTAATGTTGAAATGTTATCTCTTTAGATAAAATCATTGTTTTTTTTCCTTTTTTGAAATTTTAATTAAGAAAGCTGGTTATTCACCTTTATGATTATTCATTTAGGATGGTAGAAATTTAAACAAGGAATCCTTTTATTTATTTATTTTTTGTTTCCTCAAACCTCTACAACTTCGCCTTTTACTGGCATTCTGTGTATATTTTTTTCAAAGAAAATTCAAACCAGAAATACAAAGGACATTAGTGAAAACCTAATACCATTTGACCTTGTCACATTAGCCTTGGGCATTGAAAAGATATAAATTTCAAAGACGACAAAAAGCAAAAGATTTGTACAATGAGCAGTAACAGTTTCCATTTTCTGCTCCTACTTGAGTCTCACTGGTAGTGAAAGAGCTTATGAATGCAGAGAGTTTTCTAGTTAGAACTCTGCTAGGTCAAACCTAAAATAATCACAAGTTCTAATGAAAATTTAAAACAGAAGACAGCATGAAACAAATATGTCAAGCAGCATTCATTCTATATGTCATTCTATATGCCTTCAGTTTGTTGGGAAAAATCATATGCATATAATTCTTGCTTGTTATAAAAATATTTATCAAAAACTAAGAAAAATATATAGTCTAAAAACCATCTCAACCACAAATCCAAATATCCATGTATGTATGTATGTGTGTGTGTATATATAAATACGTATATAACTATATTAATTTTAGCTTTGTAAAATATATTCACTTTGTTAATTTGGTTCACTATTAGAATTTTTTAAACATGGGGGAAATAAAGCATAGATAGTAAGAAAAATGTTTTATTAAGATTAGTTCACTGATAACTCATTGTTTCTAAATTCAAAACCATATTTGCTGCCTTTGAGTTTTATCACTGTCTTGAAAATGTCAACGTGCATAGTACACTATGTAAGATGCATCATGTCTACAGTTAGCAGTAAATAGTTTCTTGAGGAAAATCCCAGTCAGAAGATTACTTTCATTCTAGGATACCTGGGAATATCAGCACTACCCTATTGTTCCATTCCACACATTACTATTTATTGGTGCCAGTAGACCATTTCTCTGAGAAACAGTGGAAGGTTACATGGGAAAGAGCTTTGGAGAGATTCAGAAACAATATAGTCAAAAAATATTCAAACAATATATTCAAACAATATATTCAAAATTTTAAAGCACTATATCACATAATACACTTTATTCTCAGTTCTTAAGAGATTAAAGATCAATCTTTTAAGCCTATCCATATAAAGTGTATATAAAGTCAGATACACTTACCATCATATCCCTCCAAAATAGAAAACCACATCTCAGTACTCAAATATTATAAACAAGCAAAATAACAGATAGAAATAATTTGAGTAATTATTCCAATTACTACAATCAAGTCTAAAAACATTTATGCTTTAGTTTAAGTAATTACCTTTGTATTATCAGATTGAAATAAATGTATGCATCATAAGACAACAAACGGGCCAAAGTTTATCACCTACTACTAATTAAATTTTTAGAAACAAAATATCTCTTTAATGATTTAAATTATCAAAGAAATCACAAGCATTGTTATTTTAAAGAGTCTTCATTTCAGTATTTTCTAATCTCCTTAAATATTTTTGCAATTGCTAATGTGATTTGAGATCACTTGTATAAGTGATTAAATATCATTTTTATAAGTGATTAACTATACAGGGCCCAACAATAGCTGAGTGTTTCACTTTGAAATTGTACTTTTTATCTGAAAAGTGGCATGAAAAGATCTAGTAACTTCATGGATGACTTAAATTATTTTCACAGTGTCACTGATCTTGCTATCTTTAAACCTGAACAATGTCCTCTTAAACTCAAATAAAATTCCATATTTTAGATATGATTAAAACAACCTGAATGTAGGTTCAGTTTTAAACTGTCAAAGTTAAATCACTTAGTACCTAAATGCTCAAAAAATGAACACTATTGTGATACAGATTAACACAAGTTTACACATTTTTGTAGAATTGTATTATCTATATGTTGTGCATATATAAGATATTATATATTTAATTAGGCTGCTCTTAACTCATTTTTAAAGTAATCATTATATACCTCAATGAAATAATTTCTTGTTAAAGTAGATCTTTTATCCCACTCCATGTGCCTTTAATGAACTAATTAATCATATTAGTGGATAAGTCTCAGTGAAGTATTAAGCACAGAAGTACATGCGTTGTGCTCCTGTTTTGGTTTTAGACATTCTCTGCAAAGATCCAGATGTTGGTGGTCTCAAATGGATCATCTGAAGGAGGGACCCATTTCGACCTAACGCTAAGGTATTTTTAAATGTTACTTTATATCCTAGGGGAAATCAAATTTAAATCCATCTTATCAGTTACAAAAAGAACATGCAAGTTGAGAGCAGATTAAAACTTCTTTCATGGCTTAATAAGTACCATTTGAGAGAAATGAGACATCCTTCTGAATTAAATTAAATCCCTTGTTTATTTTCCAAGGACTGTATTCTTTCTAAATATAAACAAACCTGCCCTGAAACATTTCTACACACATGAATCATTAAGAAGAAACATAATGAGGAACATAAAATAACTAAAATTTACTAATATTCTAGGCTACCAGTCTTTGAGGTCTTTACTTAGTTATGTAGTCTACTATCATTTTAAGTAACCATTGCTAAGATTTATCACCTAAGGAAAAATACATTTTCACCTGTTTTGAGAAAGAGTGAGATTTTGAAGTAAAGGCAGCCAATAAGAAGAAAATGCTTCCACAGTTGAAATGCTGTTATCATCCAGGTAAAGTTCTCGTAGTAGAACATGATTCATCAGGGATGGAAGCTGGGTTTAAATATAACATATTACTTTTTATCAAGAAAATTTACAAGTAATAAAATCTACTAAAATTTACCACAAATAGATTCTGCTAAAATTCAAGTATTAAATCAATGTATGAGACTTTCTATGTGAATAATACAGTTGCTAATTTCAAAATTTTTTTGTCGGTCACAGGGCTTGAACTCTGGGCCTGAGTGCTGTCCCTGAGCTCTTCAGCTCAAGGCTAGCGCTCTACTACTTGAGCTACAGTGCTACTTCCATAATTTCATAATTTTTAACATACTGCATAGACATTATTTCATGACACAATGTAATACTATTACAGAATAGGTAAATTTGCTCCTAAATCACAATTATTATTATACTTTAGGATTATAAGAAAATGGTAAAATAAATGTATAAAATATGTATGCACACAATGTATAAATATAATTGTTCAGCATTTTGCTGTTAATGATATTTTATTAGTATATTTTAGTTGGACAAGAGGAAGTTTCCTTGTGACATTTCCATACATGCAAATAATGTTACTCTGATCACTCACTTCATCTATCCCTCCCTCTTCCTTAATCCCACTTCTAAAATAATTTCCATATATGCAAACAAAGTACAATTAGATTTCATCCTCAATCTCCCTTTGGTTTACCCTCTACACTATACTGATGTTGCACTTTCTTGTCATTTACTTATTTAAAAATGTAACTTAATTGAACCAAGTGATTTCTTCATGACAAAGAATGAAGGGTGACTAGTGAATAATTTCAACATACATTGCAACTGTGTATAAAGACAGCGTAAGGAATCTGGATGAAAGCAGTGGATCCATAGAGGGTTAGGGACACAGAAAGGGAAAGCAATAGAGATGGGCTTTTTTCTGAATAAAATATCATAGATTAGCATTTTGTTGTTGCTCGTGGGGCTTGAACACTGGGCATGGGCACTGTCCCTCAGCTCTTCAGCTCAAGGCAAGTGTTCTACCACTTGAGCCACAGCACCACTTCTGGTTTTCTGGTGGTTTGTTGGAGATAAGCGTTCACAGACTTTCCTGGCCGGCTTTGAACCACAATCCTCAGCCTCCTGAGTAGCTAGGATTGCAGGCTTGAGCCACCAGCACCCAGCTCATTTCTTAAATAGAATTATGGAAGAGATTAAGTTAAATTGAGAATCAAAGCAGATTAGTTAAAAAAAAACAAAGAAAATGCAACATTAATTGTGGAAATAGATTTAAAGGAATTACCTCACTTAGATAATTTCCCTGTAACTTCAATATCTGGAGCAATCCACAATTTTCAATGCCCTCAACATTGGTAAGATGATTATATGAACAATCCAAGTGTATGATGGTTGGTGTGTCACAAAGGCCTTTGGTACTTATTAGCTGATTGTGGTCCACAATTAGTCGTTGAAGATTTTTCAAAGATTCTAAACCACCTGAAGGAAAATAAATCTAATTTTATATATACATTCTTCTTAACTGTGTTATAACTAATACATGCTAATAATACGTTCTATCATATTATTTTGCTGTTGTTTGAGAGAGGGTCTCACTATGTAGCCTACACTTGCTTTGAACTTACAATCTTTTCACATGAGTACTGGGAATACAGTACATCTCACCTGAGGTGTATATTTTTAAATGACAAAAATGTAATCAAACTCTATAAGACATTTTGGGGGTACTGAATATTTTATAAAATGGCACAAGAGGGATCTCTTCTGACAGGAAGTCAGTGATTCTATACTGACATAGAATTTTCCACTAACTTGGAGCAATAAATACATTAGTGACACTCTTCAAGAGTCAACCAGAAAAGAAACAGGAATCTAAAGATAGGTTATGTGGATAAGAAAAAAAATGATTTTTGTCAGCAAAAGCTTGGTAATATAGTACACAAAGCACCCGAACCATTTGGAGAGGAAGAGAAGAGGAAGAAGAAGAAGAATTCTGTGAAGAATGAAGGCATCTCTGGGAGGACATAGAAAATAATGTGTAGGTTTAAAATCTGAAAACTGATTTTATTCATATGATGCACAATGTAGACATCATTGTTTGTGCAAGTGATATTGTAGCAGATGTAGGTTTATTTGACTGATTGATTGCTAGAGGCATTAATGAAGTAATCCAGATAAAAACCATAGTACAGAGGAAGTGGAAAAAAGATCGGTACCCTCCACTTAATTAACTCAAACATGCTGTCCTCCCTGCTGGCCCTAAGATATGCCAGACACACCTGACAAGATATTCATTCATATATATATATATATACATATATATATATGCATTTATATATATTTTAAATAAATTACACTTTAGAAAAGGACGTATAGCTCTTGGATTTGACAATGAAATTTATGAAGTTTAGAAATATGGTAAAAAAAAAAAAAAGCCGGGCGCTGGTGGCTCACGCCTGTAATCCTAGCTACTCAGGAGGCTGAGATCTGAGGATCACGATTCAAAGCCAGCCCGGGCAGGAAAGACTATGAGACTCCTATCTCCAATAAACCACCAGAAAACTGGAAGTGGCGCTGTAGCTCAAGTGGTAGAGCGCTAGCCTTGAGCTGAAGAGCTGAGGGACAGCGCCCAGGCCCAGAGTTCAAGCCCCACTACCGACCAAAAAAAAAAAAAGAAAAGAAAAAGCCAATCTGGTTTCTAAATCATTGGCATACCTGTAAAATCAGGAGGAAGGTGCTTTTGGAAAAAGTAAAATTTGAGTATATGATTTACACTTCAATCTAAAGACAGAAAAGAAAACTAAGAAAAAAAAGGAAAAGAAAAAAATTAATGAAAACCATGTGGGACTGGGTTCTGCCAAGCCACAGTAAAATTAATATTTGGTCACTCTTGTTATAAATATCTATTTCAAGGAACCTTTTTTCCTACAAAAATGGGATAATGGTCTAATAAAATTGCTCTTAAATGGAAGTAAATCCTAAAGGAATGGCAAAGGGGATAAACTAAGCCAGGGGTTTTCACTAAATAGACTATATAGTTCCCTTAGCTGCTCATCAATAGCTGTATCTAATAATTTATTCATACATACAAATGTGTTGAACTCAACATTTAAGATTTCAATTTCAACACAAAAGTTCCTCAGGATAGAAATAAGAATAGTGACTTAGAAATGGGGAAAGTTAGGCCTGGGAAGGGGGCTCAGTGGTAAAGTCCCTGCCCTGCATGCATGAGGCCCTGGGTTCAATTTCTCCGCACCACATAAGCAGAAAAGCCAGAAGGGGTGTTGTGACTCGATTGGTAGAGTGCTATCCTTGAGCTGAAGAGCTGAGAGACAGCGCTCACGCCCAGATTTCAAGCCCTATGACCAACAAAAGAAAAAACAATTTTTACCTCTTCTTGGTCAAGAAGAAGAATACGCTCCAAGTGTGTCTTTTATTTTGGGGAGTGGGGGTGTGGCGGGGCACTGTACAACTAAGCCACCTTCCCAGCTCATAAGTGTGTGCTTTTTCATATGTAAACTAAGGATCCTCTATTGGCAGCACTGTAAAATCATTTAGTTTTACACTGCCATTTTGTTCCTCCTAAAAAGTAAGCTAGTGCCATCTAGTGGACTAAAAAATTCACCAACTATATAGAGTAATACGCAAAAATATTTATACAATATTTATGCCTACAACTTTATTTTCTCTTACTTTATACCATCTCATTCTCAACTATCCAAAGATGATATTGTGAAAAAGCATTAATTAAGACCAGGTCATGGTAATGGATGTCTGTAATCCCAACATTCCACAGGCTGACGCAGCTGGACAAAAATTCTGGAGCCAACATAGGCTACAATAGTGATCTCCAGCTCAGCCTGGGGGGATATGGTGAGCTTTCCCCCCAAAAATAAATCTACTGATAAAGAAATCTTTCATTTATGAGTCATTAGACAGTAATTAAGCTTGGATGAAGATTATATTTCATATTTATAAAAGTGTCACTTTCCAGAAAGCATTATTATCTAGAAAGTAAACTGGCAGAAAAAAAAAGACATTAATAGTTCTCTTTGCAACTTTAAATGTATAGCAATAAATAAGTTGCTGAAATTAAGGAATTATTGCTAGATTAAAGTTTTCCAAAAAATAGTAAAAACAGAAGCTTCATGAATGAAAAGACAAAGTAACTATTTTTCTTACACATTAACATCACATTTATTTTCTTTTTTACCTGGTAGTCAATAAATAAGATACAGCAATAAAAGTTTACTATAATTCTGTACCTACACATGTAGCTATTAATTTAAAAAACTATAAGCTTTAGTTTTATAAGTACCTCTTAGATGAAGTTAATCATGTGATTTCACATTACTCTAAACAAGTAGTTTAATTTCTAATAAATTAATACTGATTTTAATTGAATTACATAAAAGAGATTGACCTTTAGAATATTAAGCAAAAGAAAGTGAATCAAATAAAAACATGTGTAGCTGTTTTCTAATAATAAAAAAAATTAAGCGAAGCTGCTATGAGCCATGGACTCTCTATAATTCTAACTACTCAGAAGGCTGAGATCTGATGATCATGGTGCAAAGCCAACCCAGGCAGGAACATCTATGAGACTCTTATCTCCAATAAACCACCAAAAAGCTAGAGGTAGAGTTATGGCTCAACTGGTAGAGCACTACCCTAGAGCAAAATTCTCAGGGAGAATGGCCAGGCCCTCAGTTCAAGCACCAGGAGTGGCATGCACACACATAAACAGATGCAGGCACGCACACACACACACACACACACACACACACAAAGCCAACTAAGAGAAAAATGCATATTAATTATCTACAATGATTACAGCTTAGAAGAAATTAGCCACAATTTAAACATGGAACCTCAAATATAAGACGTGGTATTGTTCCCAATTTTACTTCACCTCCTTAAGAAATATTGAAGCTGTTTGTTCCTCCCCCGTGGTATAACTCCTGTTTTTACTGTATTTGATGTCGGTGCCCTGCATCTTGTATATACACTTCTCTAATTTGGGGAGGGAAAGGAAAAAACAAAATGCTTAAATAGGGATACAGGATACAAGTTGGCCCATTTTAACATTGAGATGTACAAGACACTATATTGAAAAACAAACTTTACAATTTAGGAGGATGGGACAGTGTAGTTGTGGAGGTGGGAGGGAAGGGATGGTAGGGGAAAACAAAGGAGGACGTAACAATGCTTGATAGGAAATGTACTTATTACCTTGCTCATGTAACTGTAACTCCTCTGTACAGTATTTTTACAATAAAAAACACATTAAAAAAGAAACATTGAAGCAAGGAATAGTAACCAATTATAAACACAAATCTATCTTTGTGCCATTTCATAAAAGCTCTTAGCATCAATATAATGTGAGAGAAAAAAATCTATTTATTTCACTTAGTACAACTAGAATCTTTAAGCAGTTCCTAAAGACGAAAAACAGATTCCAATTGATCTTCAGACAAAAAATCCTCTTTACCATGTATACCCTTCCCACACTCAATAAATACATATTTTCTCTGTACCTAACAGACAGCTAAGTTTTTCATTTTGCTTCCTCTGTACAGAGATAGCTGTAGTTCATCCATTCATACTGGTAGTTTTCACATAAATCTTGTAGATATCCTATTAAGAAAATTCACTGCTCATAAAAGTCCCTATATGCCATGCTGGCATTAAAGATAGAAGTTCAAGAATTCCTTTTTAGCTTACTTTAATGTCTACTAATATAGTAACATGAATTATGAATGTACTTTTCAATCCAGAATAACAGAATTATCACTATGTGTATTTACATTAGAATTTAAAAGTAAAACATGTCAAAGGCTTCTATATTTTGGATTGGGAGTAGTTAGAGTGTTCTCAAAGTATGTGCAATAGAAATTGCACATATTTAATATGTTAAGGAATATTTAATAATCATACTTCCCAAAATGTGCATTTTTAAATGTTAAAAAAAGCATAAAAGCTAAACTGGTTGCTCCTGACGTATGCCTGGAATCCTAAGCTACTCAAGATGCTAGACTCAAGGAACACAGTTCAAAGCAAGCCTGGAAAGAAATTCCATGAGACTCAACTTTAGCCACTAAAAGGCTGGAAATGGATCTATGGCTCAAGTGGTACAAAAGTTCAAGGAACAGTATTCAGGTTCTGAGTTCAAACCCCAGGAATAAGAATAAAATGAACAAAAACCTTACTTTGTTAAAACAAGTACAAATTTTTCCCCTACATTAAATAATATAAAGGATGAAAGTGAGAGTGATGTATTATTGTATAATATTCAAATTTAACTGTCACATACTTCCTACAGAAATGTATAACAACAAAAAGAAAAAATATGCTTAAGTCTTACAACTATCATAAATGAGAGATAATGGAATTCTAATTTTAATTTTTATTCAAAAAAGTTATTGATAAGTATGGTGATAAGTATGGAAGACCAACAAAATCTTGTTTGAATCCATATCTGTGGAGAAGGAATCTTTTGGAAATCGAATGGAAAAGTGGAGGTGGGAGGGAAGGGATGGCAGGGGGAAACAAAGGAGGAGGTAAAAATGCTTGATAGGAAATGTACTCATTACCTTGCTCATGTAACTGCAACCTCTCTGTACAGTATTTTTACAATAAAAAATGTACAAAAAAGAACTATATTATAAAAGATGGAGGCACCCTACAAGTAACAATTCCCATATGGTCAACTCGACTTCTTTACAAAAAGAGAGAACAGGATTCTAAGGGGGATGACAGAATTGAAACCAAATATCTAAGATAGATTGAATAAATTCAAATGGCCTATAGGACAGAACATTTAAATATAAATTTATAATTTAATTTAGTAAAATATTGGACCCCAAATCTATGCTGCATAAATGGACAAAGTCGGAATAGAAGACATTCTGTAAGACAACACAGATTCTGAAAAAAAATAAAAAGAATATTGGATTGTAGAGTGCAGTTCATAGAAGGAATCATTATTGATCTTATTAGGTGTCAAAATACAAGTAAATTAAGGGATCATTTTATTGAAAAGTTTTTCACAGAATATGAAAGGATGGAATTATGTAATTTTACATAATTCCATAATTTTGTTTTAAGAAAAGAAAAAGTAAATCAAATATAAAGAAAAATTAAAGAGGAGACAAATGTCAAATAGTGGTTATGTGGATTTTGCCTTGTATTTTTCTATTTTCACAAACACTTCATTTATGAAATAAAGACATAAACAAAAAGTAAACATTACCAGTCATGTAAAATTAGTATCAAGAACTCCATATATCACCTGGCCCACACAGAGAAAGCAAGCTTATTTCCATCTCCCCATGTATTCTTATCCTGACTCATTTCCTCTAACTCCATCCTGGTTAGACTTCTAAATTATTATAGGTTGGAAAACAATGTTACTTGTGAGGGGTACAACACTTTCAACGGTTTGTCAAACAATCAGATGAAAGCTTAGTTTATTTTTTAACAAGGTCCTGATTTTTATGGCAAGTCTGTGTACTCTTGAATTAGTTTGCATTTCCAACAGCTCTTGAGAATCTCACAATGAACTCAATAACTTAACAAATAAGGTACAATTCATTTAAAATCCATCCATTCATTCATTTTAATAAATAATACAACAGGATCTTATCTAGAGTTACTTCAGTGGAAATAATGCAGAAAAGTGGAAACTGCATTTCTGTGGGTAGTAGAGGGAACTTGGGGAAAAAAGTTGTTAACAAGAACAGAGCTATTTCACAGAACCGGAAACAAAGAGAAACATGAGGTAGTCCGTAACAGAGAAAGTGAACAGTCATAGGAAGAATTTGACATAAGGCTACAATAGATGATGGAGTAAGTCTCAGATTGGAATATTAAGAATGGTTATAAAAATTATGTCACTGGCTTTCAGTTCAAAATGGCATTTTTAGTTGCTTAGTTATATGGATCAGAAAATATGTATAAGCAAGTAGATATGGATATAGAGTAATAGAAGGATGGAGAAGTTTGAAAAGGGTCAGAATGAGGAATCCCTTTATGTGCTATGTGTAGCCTGAGCTAGAGGTTAGCATAGCTGCTGTTATGTATCCTCTGAGTACTGATGGTAGGGTTTACTAGTGAACAGTTATGACAATTGCTGAGAAGTGCTTAAAGTCCACAATCTATTACAGATGACTGGTCAACAAATTGGGTGTTTACATTCCTCAGCGGGGTTCAGATCCTTATTAAAGGACTATTTCTATAGGAGAAGGAGCAGAGAAAAAATGCGACTAACTGCAGTGCATTATTTTCTACATCTAAAATTAAGGAAGTATAAACACTATAATATGCAAATTGATCAGGATGGACTATTCTTAAAAAGGATAAAAGAAAATAAAGCTGTTGCAAGAAACACATGTTTAAATATTAAAATTCCATTCATCTCACCGATACGAGTGATTTTATTATGTGAGAGTTCAAGATTTTGAATATTAGTGCAACCATCCAAGCCATGAAAAGAAGTGAGTTGATTTTTATTAAGCAGAACAACACAGAGATTTTCCAAGTTTTCCAAGTTGATCATCTCAATATGGTTTTCCTACAGTGAAAAACAATTAAAAATGAATTTTACTTCAATGACATATTACTAAAGTATTTGAAGTCTCCAAAACAAGGAAGGATGAGAGATGATCACCAAATGAAAATATGAATCGTTTAACTTCTAAAATAATCATACAAACTGTTATCATTAACTAATATGAGCTAGCTTTTAACTTAGTAATGTCCCTTTAAAATTTGAGATAATTACAGAAGAAACTATAATAAAATATTTCAAACTACCTAAGTGAACAGCAGTGGGGTATTTTGGGAATGTCTACTGTGGTGAACTAGATGTGTCTTCAACATTATGTATGATTATAGAGCAGAGGTGATGTTGGGGCTGTGATATAAATCTTCCAGTTTTTTGCAGGTCTCAGGGGTTGAGAGGATAATATTGTGCCCTAGAAATTGCACTGGGGAGCATTCTTTCTCCCTAGATATGATTTAGATGTAAAGATCCTGTACCTGAAATCTGGGTGTGATGCTTTGGTGAAACATTGAGTCCTTTGGATGTTAGTGTATTTTTCATGCCGAAAGAATGTAAATCCTTAGACATGGGGAGCAGTGATAGGGTTGCTCCTTCCTAAACCTCATAACCAATATTCACACATTCATGTTGTATCTACCCTCCCACACAAACTCAGGGTTCAACCAATGACAGTGATATAGGCAGATCCTTCAGAGGTATTTACATATTTGAACTTGGCTTCCTGGAATATTCAATCTTGGTATCTGAACACTTTGAAAAGAAGCCCCCTTCCTAAATCACCAAAGACTCCTAGATATCTGGTCAAGGAGGCAGATTTATAAGAGAAGGAATTTTGGATCCATGTAATCTAATTTCCTTCTAACCACAAAGATGTGAGAGACCCATTCAGCACACAGAAATGCCTAGCTAATCTGAAGAATCCAAAACATATCAAATAAAATGGTAGTCACTTTTTACCACTGTATACTTTTTTCTTTATTGTGCAGCCACAAAATTCAGAAATAATACAAACACTATTTACAAAACATGGCAGGCAATATGAACATTAAAAAAAAACAAAATTGGTCATCTTCCTCTATCTCACAAACTTAAGTACTTCAATTTTTATTATATGTTATTGTATTCACCAGTTCTTCAAAGTTATCACCATTGAAATGTGAACATGAGTGTTTTACAACTAGGATAATCTATAGTAAAAAAACAAAAAAGACATACCTGTGCATCTATGTACTTAAGATTTTTACAATTCGTCAGGCTGTGCAGAGAAGTTAATCCACAATGCCGAAGAGAAAGAAATTGAAGATTTATACACTCTGCCAAAGTGGACAGACTACAGCCTGGCAAATCTTGAAACACAACTGTTGTAACCTACAACATTTAAGGAAATTGTGATGGGCATGATTATTTAGTAACAGAAAAAACTGCATCAGCCTCTCAAAATCACTTAGAAAATTCATGTAATACTAAACTCTGAGTGCCACATTAATTAATAATTCAATTTGAGTTTTTACTTGGAAAGACAATGCTGTCATCTATGATAGTTCAAGTTCAAAAGTAATACAAGAAGCTGGATGCCTGTGATTAATGCCTGTAAGCCTAGCTACTCAGGAGTTTGAGATCTGAGAGCTGGGGTTTAAAACCAGCCTGGACAGTAAAATCTAAAAGAATTTTATTTAAAATTAACCACTTAAAAGCTAGAAGTGACACTGTGGCTCAAATAGTAGAGCACCACACCTTGGATTCAAAAGCTCTGGGGCTACACACAAGCCCTGAGTTCAAGCCCTAGCACGAGCCCACAATTTTTATAAAAATGTAAAGTTGTATAATTGAAATCAACCTTTTATTAGCTTAGTCATTATTTTTTTAACAAAATTCAATTTTTTTGGTTGTTTGCTATTTCTTTGGTATTACATTTGGGATTATATTACATGCAGTTGTATGATCTGTGTTTAACAGGACCCAAGAGATTCCTACACAGTAATGAGAAGGATCATATGTTAATTGAAGGAAAAATAAATGATTTAATGTACACTTGCTTAATAATTTCTTTGTTGCATAGCAATTCTTTTGTACAATTACTTAAAGATAATTAAAAAAGAAAATAAAGGCAATAACTGACATTCCTAAACCTTCAAGTAAATATGAAATTTCATCATTGTTTTAGGAAGTTTCTCAATTATTCATTCTAAAACTACATTTGAAACAAACTATTTTTCATTACTTTTGAGAAAATAAATATGATTAGCCATTGATATAGCAGCAACTTAAAGGCAGTGCTCATTTAGTCTCAATAAACACAAATATAAATTCCATAATTGGAAAAGTGACTATAGTACAAAATGGAAATGGCATTTCAAATGATAATCAATGCTACTTAACATTATAAGTTATATTTTGTATGATTTAAAATTACATGCTGCTTTCAATCAACTTCATAAGCACATTTAAGTTCTACCTATTAAAGATGAGGAAATTGATCTAGTTCCACTTCATTACATTGCAGGAAAAACACATGCTCTTGTGACCTTGTTGGAAATATCTACTTTAAAATATAAGGAGCTCCCTAGTATTTCTTCCTTTTATATTGAACATTAAATTTCTTAGGATGGCTGAGCATTGTTGGCTCACATCTGTAGTCCTAGCTATTCGGAGGTTAAGATCTGAAGTGCACAGTTCAAAGCCAGCCCAAACATGCAAATCTAGAAGTGTCTTATTATCAATTAAACAACAAAAAGCCAGAAGGGAAGATGTGGCTTAAATGGTAAAGTGCCAGCACTGAACAAGATGATAAGCAAGAGTGTGAAGCCCTGAGTTCAATTCTCAGTATAGGCGCACACATAAACACAAAAATTCCTATGGTACAATAATGCATTCTCCGCCCTTCATTTGATTTTTCCAAACATATATCAAAATAAATGTTTACATTCTGCCAGGTGCTGGTGGCTCATGCCTGTATCCTAGCTACTCAGGAGGCTGAGATATGAGGACAATGGTTTGAAGCCAGCATGGTGGAGCTCTAGTCTTGAATGCAAAAAAGCTCAGGATCAGCACCCAGTCCCTGAGTTCCCAGTCCCAGGACTGGAAAAAGAAACTGACAGAAAAAACATCAACAACAAAAACTGAGAGTGTGAATGTGAGGACCTCCGTTCAATCTAGGTTATCAATACTCTCCTCAAAAATAGCGTTTAGTCCTAGAGCAGCTTTGAGTTATCTCAGCTATGAGCCTGAGTCTAAAAGCTCAGAGTGCCCTGGCCCTGAGTTCCAGCAACAACAAGCAACAGCAACAACAAAAAGTTTACATTCATTCATAACAATATTCACATGCCTAAAATTGCTTTGGAAGTCAAAAAGTAAGAGCAGGATAATTAGCAATAATAGGTGCTCATGATTGTATGCTCAACTTAAAAATTAATCATGGTGCACTTATCATAAATTGACATGTTGAATTAAAATTCCTCTGTTCAACAACTTAAAGATAATGAACACACACACACATCAAGAATTGGGGCATCATGAGTGTTGCCAAACTATATCTCACACAAATAAATGAATGAATATCAAACTATGAGTTTCTTACTCTAATTCAAACCATATACAGATCTTCCTACTTTTAGAGGCTTAGTAATGGAAACAGCGTTTGATCATAGGCTTTGATTTATACTGAAAAATATTAATCAAAGTGTTTTGTATTGCTTAGAGAGTCAATGTTCTGAATAGTATTAGTTGAAAATAATAATTTCAGTTGGAAAGTGAAGACTATATCTTCTCTTACGTGGGGCAATATTTTATTAATAACAATACTTGCAACAATGCTTGACATGAAATGTACTCATTACCTTGCTCATGTAATTGTAAGTCCTTTGTGTGGTGTTTTCACAATTAAAAAAATTTTTGAATTTTAAAAAGGTTTTGAACCTTTTTTTTTTCAAAAAATGTATAAAATCAGAAATACCTGCAGTAAAGTATCCCAAGGACCACACTGAAGAATTTCTAGAGTATTCAAAGGGGGCATCATATTGACAGGGCATTTTACAAGTCTCTTTCTCTTAATAACTTTCTTTTCTTGATTTTGCTTGAAAATATCAAACCAAGGCTTAAATGATTTTATCCAAGATAGTCTCTTTTCCTCAACTGCAGATAAAAACGTTGACACTGTTAGAGGGCAGGTAGTGGTCCTTTCACAATCAGCAGCCTTTTCGTGGCATTCTTCTGGAATTTCTTTGATTGGACAGTTAAGAGTGTTTACTTCCTCAGTAACCAAGAGGGCTGATGCATTATAGCCACTGAAATCTTCACAAGTAGCCTGTCTATCAAAAACATAATCTTGCTTGTTTATGTCACCTGCTGTGTCTACCTGGCCATCAGCGTTGTTAACTACTACAATGGCACTCTTCAGAGCATTGTATTTGACATTTTCTTCAGTTTTCTTGGAGCATAAATCAGTTCCTTTTACTTGTAGTCTCCCATTTTCCTCGACAGCTTCAGAAATCTCTGGTTTTAGTGATAGTTGGTTTTGTTTCATCAATAGAGTTGAAGTATTATTTCCATCATATGGTAAAGCATTGTGTTCTGGTACTTCTTCTTTCTCTAGTCCTTGTACCAACTCCTGTTGATTGTCTTTGATTATTTCCTGCACTTCATTGCTTTCCACTTCATTCTCTTTTAGTACCTCTTCTTTTTCTACTACTTGCACCATGTCCAGTTGATTATCTTTGATAGATTCCTGTGCTTTGTTGCTTTGTACCTCGTTCATTTCTTGGCTGTGTCCCAACACTTGTGTTTCTTGTCTGAGAGCCTCATTTATTGCATGTTTTCCACCCTCCTCTTGTTGTGTCTGAGACTTTAATTCTTGTGGTTGAAACTGTTCATTCACACTTACTTTCAGATCTGATTTGATTTTCTCTATATTTTCATATTTTATTTCTTTTCTGGACAATTTTCCTAAAGATTCATGTTTTATTTTTTTATTTTTTTCTTTCAGGTTTAACTTTTCAAAAGATGCTCGATTTGACTGTACTTGTATAGATTCTTTCCAAATAAGCTGACTGTCCACATTTTCTCTCTTGTTTGATTTCCTATTTAGACACAAGGGCGCATGTGCCTGATTCTCTGGCTGGGCCTCCACAGAATGTTTGACTAGATCACACTTATTCTTTGACATATCTGCAACTAGGAAATGCCTGGCTTCACATTCCCCAGTCTTCAATGCACTTCTTATTATCATCGGTTGGTCTGCACCTTCCTTGAATCTTAACGTTTCCTTACTGCTTAGTTCCTCCCTTTTTAGTCTGAGGGTATTCTTTTTATCTTCATATTCCTTTTCTCTCCTTTTCCTTGCTTCTTCCTTCTGCTGTCTCATCGTTTTCTCTATCTTCTTTTCTTCTTCTAACCTTTTCCGTCTTTCTTCCTCCTTTTGTCGGATGTTTGCTTCCTTTTCCCTTAATTCTTGGGCTTTCCTCTTCTTATTTTCTATTTGTTCTTTTATGACTGGGTTGTATTTTTGGTAGGCTATGAATGCTTTATATGTAGCCTGGATTTTTACAGCTGCATCATGATGCAATTTTAACAAACGATTTTTTTCTTTTTCCTGGAAGTCATTAAATTTTATTCTTTCTTCTTCCATTTGTAAATTCAAGTTTCTTATAAATTCCTAAAATAAAGGAAGATAAATAGTAGTCAGCATAAACTAAATGTGAAAGGTTATTAGAATATCAACTACCCTAATAGTTTTAAAACAATGCTAAACCTAAAATTATAATAAAATTACTATAATATTCACTCAAAGGAACTAAAGTGATTTATTATAAAGAATATTTAAAATACATAAGACAGTGGACTGTATTGGAAATTAATAGCACACTACCATTATTAGCCACCTTTGTATAAAGAATTCTCTCATGGTAAGAAAGCACATGAAATCAATTGGGCATAGTGGACACTTCTGTAATCCTGACTCCTGGGAAGGCAGAGTTAAAACAATAGTTTGAGGCTAGCCTAGGGAAAAGCTAATGAGATACCATCTCAAAAACAGAGTAAAAGCCACAGAGCTACAGATGAGATTCAAGCGGGAAAGTCACAAGGTCCTGGGTTCAATCTCTAATAATCCCCCAACACACACACACACACACACACACACACACACACGTGAAATCAGCATGATATAAGCACAGCAATGAAAACCAAAGGTCAAATTCATGTAGAAGTCTTCATAATTTCTGAGATTAAACCTTTAATAAAGAAGGTCAGTTAGTCCATATGTATAAACAGTATTAAGAACCTACTAATTTGCATATATAACCTTTTCTCATCTCAAGTTGATAAGTAAATTTTGAGTTAGATGAAAAATACTCTCAGTAGAATCTGAAAACTAAAATAAACAGTACAATGTATTCAATAAAAATGAAGAATAGTCAGTTTCTGAGAAAAGAGAATGGGAAAACTGGATAACAATAAATATCTTCAGAGAATAGATTTTAAATAATAATAATCTCACATAAAAATAAACTAGCCAAGAAGAAGCATGACATTTACAGTTGATAAAATTAATAAATGCACACATTATCACAACTTTAAAACACATATAAGTAAATCTGAGTCTTATAATCAAATAGAGAAAATGTTTCATTTGGAAAGAAAAATATGAACATTTTCAGCTGTGGGAAGATTGAGAATGTGGTTGAAAATGTGGTTTACAACATTTTAAATAGATATTCTAGGAAATGTAAAACTAGTCCAAAAATCAGAGGAAGACTCAGGACCCAAAAAACTGTCTGAGCAAACAAGCTGTAAGCACTCAGCACCTTGCTCTATTTTCTCCTTCTTTACTCAGCTTTACTTGTGAAGTCAGAAAATAATTTACCCTTTCTTCTGGTTCTTTTCTAGGTTTCTTTTTCTTACAGGTTCTTCTTGAATTTTAGTAGGTGCACTATTAAATACTTGGCTATAATTTTGTTGCATCTATACTATTTGTGGATAATTTGTCATTTTTGAATGTCCAGCTTGAGTTTGTTGGGTTCTTTCTTTTTTCTTACAAATTGAATCTGTGTTGTTCATTTTTCCTTATCCACTACATCTGTTACAACCCTTTACTTTTCCCCTTACAAGATTACTGCCATATATATTTTATATTTTTCTTTGAATCTTTCCTGCCCTTCTTCTTTTTCCTATATGTGTATTAATTTAGGTATTTTCTATTGAATTCTCCTCTTTTTCAACTAATGTTCTAATTTTCTATGTCCAATATACTATCCAATTTATCAATACATTTTAATTTTCATTTATTATTTAAACTCTAAAGCATGCTTCATTATAGATTATAATCGTCTTTTTGTGCTATCAGTTTACTTATTTTGTCATTGATCATTATACATACATAATGGCTCCACATAATCTAACATTTGGATTCTATACCACTTAGATATAGTATTTAATTCAAACATAAAAATATATATCAAAAGAGAAATTCATAATGTATTGATTTGAAACAACCAACAGATACCTCATGCTGTTTAAATTTCTCTTTCCACATTTTCTCTTCTTTATGAAGTTCATCATCCATCTTTTCTTGTTCTTCCTGAACATATCAAAAGTAAAATTTTATTTTTATTTATTTCACTATTTCATAATAGTGAAACAAGCATTATGTTAATTATATATGACCCTCAGAACATATATTTATAAACAACACTAAAATTGTCTGAATTTGAACAATATAAAACCAAAGATAGGAGAACAATTACAAAATAGAGTACATATTTTAATTAGATACTAAGAAAACTGCAAGAAAGTACTAAGAGACTATAGGGGAGATATGGAAAATATGGGGGGGTAGGGGAGATGGGAAGAGATGGGAAGGGGAAACAAAGGAGGAGGCAACAATGCTTGATAAGAAAGTACTCATTACCTTGCTCATGTAATTGTAACCCCTCTGTCCAGTATTTTCACACACACAAAAATGTGATCTTATCATTTTGGTTCATTAGCACGGACTAATTATAAAAGCTTTGTTTATTAAAATTAATGCTAGAGAATGAGATACATGAACTTATGAGTTCTAGTAACAATTACAGAAGTTACACAGTCTATTTAAATTTGCTATAAATGTAGACTGGAGTCTGAATAACTACATACATGGATGAGACTATCAAGAGAAAAGTTTAAGAAATAATATATGAAAGAGGAAAGGATTATAATTTATGAGATAAAGATTTTCAAATTTCAAAATTTATATATAGGAAAAACTTTGGGAAGATAATCCAGACAATTTTATTCAATAGAAATCAATGAAAGGTAAATAGAGAAACATTTTTTTAAAGAAAACACTGGCATAAATTGCTACAAGTCAAAAATAAGAGTGGTCAGGAAACTTTATGATAAGAGTAAGAGATGAGAGGGAATAAATTGTTTTCTTTTGTCAAGAGCATCTAAAATAAGAGAAACAAAGTGATCTTGTATTTTTTAGGATGCAAGGAAATTGAACATATTGATTTAAAAAAGGGAAATTGATAAAGATGTTCAGGCATACATTAAAAAGCTGAGTATGTTGACAATAGCAGAATATAAAACAGAAAAGGGGAAAAAGAACATCGGAAGAAGGAAATTACTTTTCTTTTTGAGAAAAAGCAAAGCAAATATAGATTACGCCAGATAGATACGGACAACAAAAAAGAAGCTTGTGATTGATGCAAAAAATATACCATCACTTAATAATAAGGATCAGAGAGGTAGTGGTGAAATTCCTTCAATTTATGATAGGTTTTTTTTTATACTGGGAGAGAAAGTTAGCAAAGAACACAAAAATAGAATAGAAGTATATATAGACCACGTATATATAGAAGTATATATAGAATATATAGAAATAGAGAGAGAGACTATATAGAATATGTCATAAAACCATACAATAGCCCAATTAGAAAACTTTCAAGCACAAAAGCAAAGTACAGTGCACCAAAGAATTCATTAAATCTGGTATTGTCATATCTTCTTAAATTATAAGTCTGTGACTAATACAATTTGTAATTCTTTGATTTAAAAAAAGAATTATCTATGATTTTTGCCTTGTCTGTTATATGAACATTCCATGATCTTTACAGCTTGCAAAGAGCATCCTACAATCCATCATGTGAAAATTCTTATTATGATGACTAATCTCAGAAGCAAAAACAAACACAAACTCCTGACAGTCCGAGAAATTAGCTGAATTCAGTACCAGGAAACCAAATGTCACATAAATGACGGAATTACTTCAACTAGTTATGATTTATATAATGGGGTATTTGCAGCTCACATAGGGAAGATATTGAAAAATTAAATCTCTATCACGGTTCCTCATGATGAGACTGATGTAAAAAAGGCTACAGTCTATACGATAAATTTCAGACTGTGTAGGATGACCTTCAAAACTGCAAGATGTAAAACAGTAACAGCAATTTCAACAACTTCCACGAAAATGAGTCAAGCAACTTAATGCATAGACAACTTTGTTCATTATCTTAAGTTAAAAGCTGTCACATGACCCTCAACTCACATGATAACATCCAAATATCCAAATATCAACACTCTTCGGTAGCCAGACTAATTTTGAAAAATGGGGGGGGGGGAAACAAAACAAAAGTACCTTCTGAATATTCTCTAGTTTTTCCTTTTCAACCTCAAACTGTTTCAGCCAGCAATGTCTCTTTTCTTCTTCTTCTTCAAATTCTTTTTTTTCTCTATCCCTCTGATCTTGGAGAATTTCATTCTCTTTATCTTCTAGTTCTTTTTGCTTCTCTTGCCAAGCTTGGAACGACTGTCGACATCGTTCTTCCACTTCCAAGTATCCACAGCTTACGTCAGCATCATCTACATTCATAGAAATGAACAACAGTAGGGTCCCTACCACAAAGCTTGTCAAAATTGATCAAACTTCATGTGCAGGAGTAATGTAGAAATGAATGTCAGCACATTTTCAATGGAGGAGGGATAATATGGAAAATATACGTTGTTGGCTGTACACAGAACTTCTGATGTGGTCAATAAAACACTCAAATCACATGCCTTAAATGTTTTATAAATATCAATGTAAAAATGTGTGTGTTCATAGTTAAAGTAATTGTTAGGTGATGTAGTTAAGAGATATTTAAGCTCAAGATTAATTATAAAATTTCAGTCAGTGGTTTGAAGGCATAAAGAAATTACAAAAACATGTAATTAAGCAAAACAAATGCATAATGTCTTTCACAAATGTAAGTGTGTTTTTGCAAGTGTCACAAAGAAAACTGTGTAAATCTTTTTTCAAGTACCTTTGATCAGCCATATAAATATTATCAAAAATATGATTAAACAAGTTAGCTGACCTGGCAAAACTTGTTCATCCAAAGACAAATCACAAGGGTCAGGCTCACAAACAGAGTCTAAACTGGAACAACAGGTTGTACTTCGGAAAAATTCTTCCTTTTCTATTTGAGCTAGCATCTAAGAGATTAAAACAATAACAATAATTAAAGAAAACAAAAAAAAATTCCAGACATGGTGGTGCATCGGTAATCCCAAGATATAGAGAAAGGAGGATTGTGAGTTCTAGTCCAAATGAATCAAAATTAATGAAACGTTATCTCAAATACGAAATTTAAAAATTAAATAACATTGCTGGGAAATAGCTTAAATAGTAGAAATACTAAATTAGCAAATGCATTGTCCTAGGCTTATTCTACAACTGTTCCATAAGACTAATGTTTAGTTTTAATGATGTACTATACACGCAAACACACACATACTGAGAATTTTATATAAATGTATGTAAAATTTGCAGCATACTGGTAATTATTTTCCTTACAAATAAAAACATTTTCTCATCTAATCAGACTTTTGTCCTCTTAATATTTTGGCAAGCTATATTCATTCTTTAATATTAATATACAATATTCAGTTAGTCTGCCTGAAAATCATTTCAAAATATTTCTATTAATAATTGTCATCTTCCTAATTCACTTACATTGCTCTTACTTGCAATTACTGTTTATGTATAAAATTTAATATAGCCAATGTGATAAAATGAAAACTAAGTATTCTTTATTTCAATCTCAATTATGCATCTCAAAAATTCGATCAACACATTTCCATAATTTTGTTTCTGTGGTACTCTAGATAGGAAAATATAAAATATTTATTCCAAAGAAGTAGTAATATGATAATTTATAGGCACTATTTAAAAAAAACAAGCAAGAGACATACACAAAATTTTCAAGTTACACCAAATATCTCGGGGAGGAGGAACAGAGTTAAAGAAAAATAAATATTTAGACAAAAATGAATCCAAGAGGTGAATCTGGAAAAGTGACGTTTCTTTTAATATATTTATGGCACTTTATTCTGATAAAAATGCTAGTCTTTCCTTTGCTCTATTTTAAGAGATTTTTTTCTTTATCTTTTAAGCTAATATAAAATTTTCTGAATTTAAAGTTTTTGTACAATATTTAAAATCTCTGTACAATCCTTAGGAAGGTGATAATTACTATGAAGTATTCATTGTTTTCATTACTAACTTGAAGAAAATATTATGCAGTATAATTATACACTTTTACCTTCTGAACATTAAAATTCCCAAATACTAAGGGCTCATTTCCATTTTCAATATTTTAAAGAATGAAATTGATGTAATTTTGTATGCTATTTTAGAGAAATATTAAAATAATTAAACTTAGCATTGTAAATCAATGATCATAAACACATTGAAATCATATGAGAAAAGATAAGTTCTAACTATATTATTGAGTACTTTCAGTCAAGTATTGAACATATACCTTCATTAATTGCTCAGAATTTTCTTTTGATTCAGGTGACAATCCTAGCCTGAAATGCATAGGATTATTAGTTCCATAAATGCAGCCTAGAAAAATGGAAAATAATATTGTGATTCTAAATGTTAAAGTACATGTCAAAATTCCTTCTTTAATCTCAGTTTGTATCAGACTACTTTCTTGGTCACTAACAGTAGAACAGAAAAATAAAACAGAACAGAACTGAATGTTTTCTACAATATTTTTCTGTTTGAACAGAAAAACATTAAAGAACAAAGATTATAAGAAGTTTTCTACATTTCTTTTAACGAATGGGTTATTTCAGCTAATATTTCCCAGTAACAAATTACCTTGACAGTGAACCATTTTTTTAGCAATTTATATTAACATGGTCAGACATGGTTTGTTTTCTGTCACTACTTACTACCTTACAACCTTTCTCATTTGTATACCTGAGTTTTTCATTCTAGAGTAGGTCTCCTCAGTCCTATTAAGAATTATATTATTTATTATAGCAGCTAATCTGCAAAGAAGGCTATCCCAAAGAACAGTAACTCCTGGTGTATGCAACTTATTTAGCTACCTCCTGGCTAGAACCAAATCTGACTGTGCAAATATCAGGTTTTGGTAGATGTGTAGCCTGTGGTAATTTGTCTTGGGATGCACTTTAGAATTCAAGCACCATGCTTCCCACTGTTAGCTCTATGTGAACTTCTCAAAGCACACAAAACATAGAACTTTAAACTATTCAAATGAGTCTTCTTGGGAATTTCTGTTGAGTCAAGTGATCAGGTGATAGACATAATCAGCAAAACTGTTCACTTTGCCTAATCAACTCAGTGAGCCACATAGAAAATACAAGTTGTGCCAGGCGCTGGTGGCTTGTGTCTGTAATCCTAGCTATTCAAGAGGCTGAGATCTGAGGATTGCGGTTCAAAGCCAGCCTGAGGAGGAAAGTCTCTGAGACTCTTATCTCCAATTATCCACCAGAAAATTGGAAGTGTCACTGTGGCTCAAGTGGTAGAGCGCTTGCCTTGAACTGAAGAAATCAGGGACAGCGCCCAGGACTAGATTTCAAGACCCACAACCAACCAAAAAACAAAACAAAACAAAACAAAGAAAGAAAATATAAGTTGTTTTTTAAGCCATAAATTTGGTGGTGCGCATCTAGAATATTTACTTTATACACATAAAAACAAAACGAAGTGACACTGATTAAGATGCATTGTATTCATAAACTGTTTTGTTAAATACAAACTCCTTTGTTCAACTACTTAAAGGTAATAAAAATTTAAAAACGTAATACTTAAAGTAGCTGAATAGTTGTTTATTGAAATGGGAAATGTCAACCCATGTGTCTTTATTCATAAATAAAATTAGCCTTCAATTTCTTCTGTTTTGGTTTTACACAGTTTTGATTTAAAACGTGTAGTTTTAGTGAATGAGCTACTTAATGTGAAATTTTTGTTCTTGATTCATTGCATGAATCCAATTACAATTTTTTTTTCTATTTTAACAATTTTCTGGGAAAGATATTTTCTTCATTGATATCACCCAAACTATTTGGTTGGAACTCTCAGGATAAGTGGTGTCAGTGCAGTATACCTCCTTTTCTGTAACTAACTTCAATTTTCTTGAGTTCATCATTTTTTGGTTTAATCATAAATTTCTACATATTTTCATTATATAAGCCTCAGTGAAAATAAATCGTAAGAGTCACCTACAAGTCAACTATTGTCATTGCTCACTCCATAGTTCAACCACTACATGAGGTTTTCTTAGAGCTGTGTGTGATCCAAGCCCTATTTTTTTCCACAGATACAAAGAAAATGAATTACTTGTGGGTCTTCAAGCAAAGTCCACTCAGTGTGCTTGGCCTTTATAGTTCCCTGCTGAGGAACTCTGGGTTTCTAGCTACCTATATGCCTTATCTCTTCACTCATGGAGGTTGTTGTTCAAACACTACCTTCTTCTAGAGACCGCTGCAGGTTTACACCATTTAAAATAGCACTTGCTAACACTGTTCCCTTAACTTGAACTTTTTCTTTCATACCAGTTATCACTGTTGAAACATTACATATTTATCTGTTTATGTTCTGTCTCAAGTGGCAAGAGAGTGTGAGACTGCAAAGACTCTTGCCTATTATGTTCTCTGCTAGATTTTCAGTGGCTAGGAGAGATTCTGATGTACAAAAATATTGCATAAGTTAATACCTATGAAAATCCATCTTATAACATCTATTTGAATAACGTACACTGAATTTTAAAATGTTTTATCATAGTATATCATGAATAAATTTATGTGAATAAATACTTGCCTAAGATTTTTTAGTGGATCTATCATTGGACAAACTGAAGTACTGTTGCGTGTTCAGTTTGGTGTCATTTTTCATGATATATCCAGACATATTTAATGCCAGATAAATCTTTGATCACTTAGTATTAAAATAATTCTAAGAAGTAAAATACTCAGTGCAGGAAAATACTTTTAAAGTAATCTTTTAAACTAATTCAGGCTTTTAAAGTAAATACTTTAAAAGTAATCCCATAATTATTATATTTTCATTAAAAAACAATGTACTGTCTGGTAATAATTAAGTCTGCCTAAGTTTTGTTGGTTAGTATTTATTAGAAACAAAAGAAAAAGAAAGAATGAATAAACAAACCATATCCATTAGCCTAACATCTTGAAAATATATTTGAGATAAATGTATATGCATACAGGTTACAAGAAGTAAAATCTTTAAACAACTTAGTTTTCCAAATTATAATCTATTCACAATTGCAGAAACCATATCTGCCAATCAGTACAACAAAATGCTTACTTAAAGCACTGAAATCTTCTACATCCTGAAGAATGAGCTCTTCAGCAGTCTTACTCTTGTTCTTTATGACATTAATACAGTGAAGAACTGACTCTGGTAATTCATCTAAATCCTAAAATTTGAATAATAAATAAGCAATTTAAGAAATTACTATCAAAATTATATGTCTAATATTGCACATTTCATTTAACACCAAAATTTGGAACAAAATGTAGAGATAAAGTAAAAGCTCTACACAGACTAAAATTTGCTTTTGAATTTCAAGTGGTCATATGTTTCTGGAAAATTAAGAAAAGTAATTAAGAGTTATCTATGCACAACATATACACATACATATATGTGTAATATATGTATAGGTTTATCCTACTATTATATTAATTATAGGCTTTTTACATGGCTTTACTAGTTGTATATATTTTTAGATTACAACTTTCAATAAATATGACCAAACATTAATCTAAACTTCAGATTTATTCCAAAATATAACATGCAAATAATACTTTATGAAAATATATAATATACTATAAAACTTTAATTGTGATCATCATACATAAAGTTAGTAAAATTTATGAACTATTATGGAATATCTACCAATATAATAAATTTAAGTCAATTTGTATATTTTCCAAATATATACACATCATCATGAAAGACTTAAAAATTGTAGCTTTTTCCTCCACAATTACTATAAGTAGTTACAAAATATAATGCAAGCTGGACATAAGTGGTTCACATCTGTAATCTACCTATCCAGGAAGCTGACATGAAAGGACTGTGATTCGATGCTAGCCCAAGCAGAAAAATCCAAGAAACTCCATCTCTAAAATAGCCATGAAAAATAAGAATGGAGGCACAACTCAAATGATAGAGTACCAGCTGTGTGCAGGCAAAATAAGTGAGCTCAATGCCCCTGAGTTCAAGCTCCAGTAGCACAAAAAGAAAATAAGAAAAGAAAATACAAGAAATAATATCAATAATAATAAACACTTAAAGATATCTAGGAATAATTTTAACAACAACCTGAAAGCTACAATTTTCTATTTCTAGATGACTAAAATCTTCATTGAAGGACCTAAAACATTATGTGACTGAATCAACACAGATGTTCCTCAAGAAAAAAAAGTATATGTGTTTGATTTCATTAAAAAATACTTTATGCCATTACGGGTTTTGATGTGTTCCATTAGAGATCTTCAGCTAGTTTTTTTTCTCTATATACGAATGGGATTCAGCCCTTGACATTTTATATTCATTTTGTGATCAGCTAAACATTTTTTGCTGGAGCAATATTTATTCTAAATAGTAAATGATCATTTTGAAAGAGAACTGTAAATTTTAATTCTTCTGTATTTTTGAAGTTATGGTTGTATACACATTGCTATTAGCATCACAAACTATTCTTAAGAGTTCTAAAATTTTCTTATATTTTTTATTTTATGTAGTTTTAAATTATATCAAAATGCTCACAAGTAAAAAATTAAAATAGAAATACACACATATATAATAGTCCAATTTCACAAAATGCACATGTCTACATGTAGATATAATCTTCTAGGTTCAAATTATTTTACAAATTTTAATATCTAACAATGTATATTTATTTATAGCATTGATGGTAGGCTAATGAGTTAAATGTAAGTCACAGAAAGAAATTATTTTTTCCTGAAAATCTCAGTTGTGTTAAAAGGCATAAAAGTGAAACACTTAACACTCACAGCATTACTATCATCACTCGGGGTTTCTGATATTGAATCACTCTCAATTTCATAATTTTCTAAGGAGGAAATGCTGATTTTATCCAATTCAGCTTCTATTTCTTCATTAAGCTTTAAATCATCATCCTCTTCCATCATTGTTCATAACATAAGACAGAATCTCTTAAAGAAACACAAAGAGGGGAATATGTCTCTGAAAGTATTTTTTCATGTCAAGTCAATCCAATATATCCCAGGTAAACATGTAAACATACGTGTGTGTGTGTGTGTGTGTGTGTGTGTGTGTGTGTGTGTGTGTGTGTGTGCCCTCATCTCAGGGCTTGAACTCAGGGTCTGGGCACTATCTCTGAGCTTTGACACATAAAGCAACAATATCACTTCTCACTTTTGTTGGCTAACTAGAGATAGGAGTTTTATGGACTTTGCTATCCAAGCTGACTTTGATCCTCAGATTTCAACCTCTTGATTATCTAGGATTACAGGAATGAGCTACCAGTGTCCAGCTTACAGGTTTTAAGTTCACATACTTTGATCACACATTATTATGGTTGCATAAAATATTACTATACTTCTACAAGGAAAAAATACATAGAACAGATCAGTTTACTGCCAGAATCAGTACGTTTGAATGAAAAACTTCTATTCAAATGCAATTTTTTCACACAAGTCTTTGAACCACTTGAATAGTTAAATATTAAAATATACATAAGAAAAAACTTGATCAATGTCCCAAACCTGTAATAATGATTATTTGAGAGTTGGAGGTTGGGAGGATCATGGTTTGAGGTTAGCTCAGGAAAAATATTCACAAGACTCTTATCTCATCCAATACCTTTGGTGCAGTAGTATGCATTTGCCATGCCAGACAGCAGCTACACAGGAGGGTGAAATCAGAAGGATCATAGTTCCAAGTCACTTTGGGCAAAAAACGTTTGTGACCTCTATTTTAACAGACAAAGACCAGGAAATCTGTCATATAGGATTTTTGTCCAGATCATTTCAGGACACTAGCCCGTCTCTATCTCAAATTTAGGCATAACAAATAGATCAGAGGCATGACTCAAGTAGAACACTTGCATAGCTAATGGGAAGCCCTGATTTCAATCTCCAGTACTCCTACCCAAAAGAGAACAACCTAGATCTATATATGGGAGACATATATGTCTAGTTTGTATTTATGGATTCATTTTTAGTAATTCTCTTATAAATGGTCATATGCTTTTGGTTATGTAACACATTACATAATATATGGCATTTAATCTATGGGCTTATTGTGTTAAATGCTTAATATGTCTAGGGGTCCTAAGTAGTATATTATATATCTTCAAAACATCATTATGTTTTTCATGTCACTGCTACTGCCATCTGTAGTTCCCATGTACTGAATAACCATGACAAGCTAAGCATTAGAGCATAAAATTAGGTGATTGATGATCTTCAGAAAAATTTAACATATTTAACATACCATCATGTATGTATGTATGCCTGTGGTATGTATGTATGTATGTGGTTACTCAATGGTATTTATTCTACTTAATAAAAGGGACAGGATATTAACACAGAAGTGTGGAATCCAAGTTAATCCTCTTCCCTTTACACAGGTCTCCATATTCAATCTAGTTGTGTACTTCCCCAGCAATCCTGCTACACATCAGCTATTCCCAAAGTCTTCAAATCGTACATCCTGACATGTTAGCTGATCACAAAAATGTTAATGTTTCCTAATCAGCAAATTTTCATGATATAGGAAAGAATGGAAAATTAAGGTAGGATAAAGAAGTGTGTGTGTGTGTGTGTGTGTGTGTAGATGTGTATGAGTTTCCATGTAATATATCTTTGGTCTTGTGTGTCTTCTGCAGATCCTGTAAAAATATTAGTAAGCTACAATTTTCTAAGACATTCATCCAAGTATTCATTCTTTTATAATGTTTTTGGAATTTTAACTGTTGTCTCATTGTTCCTTTATTCCTTCCTTGTAATGACCTATTTCACTCATTTGACTCAAAACCAATTTTCTGAAATCCTGCCATATGCATCCTACATTTAGAGCAATGTTAGGTGCTGTATTCAATTTGATTAAATGAAACACTCACATTCTCTCAGAGTTTATATTCTAGTTAAATAAAGAAGACAAAACACCCTTGTTTGCCTATTTCTTTCATGAAAGCCCTTCTTACCCTACTAGTGAAGAAAAAGCCTCTTGGTACTAGTCCTAAGGTGCATCCTCTACCTAAACTCTGAGTCTGACAGCTTTTCATCTATTGAACTGTGGTCCACTCCTTATTCTTTATGCTCCTTCATGAATTTCACTCCTTTGGCCTCCACATAAGCATGACAAGTCACTCCCATGTTGAAAAACAAAGCCTGTGCTGGGATCTCCTCTAGCTGTAGACCTGACATACCTTTCTTTCACACATAAATCATTTAATCAGACATATTCCTATGTGTTTCTGAACTCCTGAGCAGCTATACAAGAGAAAACTAATATTTATGCTAAAACTTGTACATGAAAACATATAACAGCTTTATTCAGACAAATTCTAAACTGATAATAATCATAGTTTTCCTCAATAGGTGAACAATTACATAAACTCCAGTATAGCCACACTACAAACATTATGCCACCAATGCAAAGGATGAACTACCAGGCAAGGGATATAGTTGAGTGGTAGAATGTTGGCCTAAGGCTAACAGTTCTGCAAAAATGAGAGAGAAAGATACATGTACTGCAGTATGTGATAAATCTCCATAAATCACAGATAAATCTCCATAAATCTCTCTACAAAAACTGTATTATGTAAAAGTAACATCTTGTACCATTATATGTATATAACATTGAAATATCAAAATTTTATAACTGGATGACAAAGTAATGATCAGACAGTTTGGAATGTGGATATGGCAGGAAGCTGGAAGTTACATTTATGAAAAGGCAACAAAGAAGATTCTTGCACTGTGAAAACTAGTCAGCTAAAATGCTAATGCATAAACAACTATATTTTGGGCTATTAAAAATTTTACTGAACAAAATGAACTGTACAACTTGAGGGTAGGGACGGGAGGGAAAAACTGGGAGAGAGCAAGAGGAGTGACACTGTCCAAAAAGAAATGGACTCATTACTGGACTTACGTAACTGCAACCTCTCTGTACATCACCTTTATAATAGAAATACAAATTTTATTTAAAATACAAGTTAAAATTTTGCAGAATAAAAAATATAAATGAGTAAATGTAAACCTGAAGAAATCCAAGTAGGATTAGTTCATTTTATCAATTCAATATTCAGGTTATATCATACTATATATAGTACAATATACGATCACTGGGAGACAATAAATAAAGTGTATATGGATATGGATATGTAATATTCTTTCTTAAAAAGCAAGTTGAATACAGTCAAAATAGATTACTTGAAATTATGCAAATAAACAATGAAGCCTGTTGAGACTGCTTGGGGGAGGCCAAGGGGGAGCTGGGACAAAACTGTATGAAGAAACTGGGGCAGCAGGGTATGGTGAAGGTAAAGATCTTCTATGTGTTTTCCTCTGCTCATCTACTGACTCTTTAGACCAGCTCCATTCAATGTTTCTACATATGCACACTAACAGAAGCTTACCCTTTCTAGAAATAATATCTGAAAATAGAAAAAGCAAAATTATGTTGATATATTTATTTAACCCAAGATATCAAAACTATTTATGGTAACCGTTTATATATCTATCAATATTACTCACCTCTTTACAGTATGGAGGATCAAACTTAGGGTTCTACACCTACTAGACAGCCACTCACTCAACCTAATAAGCTACACCCAAGGCCCTAAAACTCATTCACTATTAAATTATGAATGCACAGATATTAGTTTTGCCTAACAATTCATGGCCATCGGAAGCATGCTTTGTACCTATTTCGCAACTTAACTCAATAGCAGTTGCAAGGCACCAGCAACGGCCACCTGCAGCTAGTGTTGTCAGTACAGGACAGCGCGGTCACAAATGGACTGCGAGTTCCCACTGAACCACTGCAAAAGCTGCCCGAGCCAGAAACGCTCAACCCCTGTAAAACTAAGAAAACCCTAAAGTAATAGTAGATCTCGTGTAGGGAGTGAGGGTTGCAGAAGCAAGACAAAAGAGAGGGTAGGATGAAGGGAGTCATCAATGTACTTGGAAAGAATGCTCAGGATAGATCTTTATGTTTCAGACAGAATTAAAGGGCTGGGGATTGGGGCGTACACACAACCACCTCAAAGTTTCCCGTTTTCCTGGCACAATTAGGACCAGTTGATCTGGTCCTACCACACAGGGGTCCGGCTGTCCCAGCCCCAGGGCTAACCTGCTCTCCAGCCCCACGTTCACCCACCTGCAGGAAATCCCGCCGGCTTCCCAGTAAAACAGCACCCAGAGACTCCAAACAAACCGTAACCACGGCAACAGCCAATCCCAAGGAAGACTGAGCAGTTCTCCCCTACAGGTGCCCCAGAAGGACAAATGATTTCGAGTGTAAATTGGAAAGAAGATTGAGCTCCCAAGATTTGGACGAAAATTTCTTTTTTTTCTCTCCACATACTTTGTAAATATTGAAATCAGAAAACAATATTCTTTTTAAAAAAATGTATTGGTGGTGTCAGTCATCAACCATTGCTGATCTAATCTATAACCCAAGGGAAGGGTGGAGGGACATATACGAAATAATTATTTTCTGGAATTTTTTTACTTAAAATATAAACAGAAGCCCGCTATTTCAGTACAAAATCTGAAGTTCCATCTTAAAATTGTACCAAATTTCCTTTTTATGATAGCTCATAAATTGTGAATCTTCATTTTAATAGTTTCTCATTAATCTTTCCTTCCTTCCTTCCTTAATTTCTTCCTTCCTTCATTTCTTCCTTCCTTCCTTCCTTCCTTTCTTACTTCCTTCTATCTTCCTTTTCTCTCTTTTTCTTTCCTTCTTTTCTTATTTCTTTTTTAACAGAATGAAAACAAGGTGTTTAATTCCATGAAGAAGTGGCTCAACAGCATTGTAAAAAGCGTCTGCTATTCAATACTCTCATAGCAAACATTACATTAAGCCCCTGAAAAAAAATAGGCTATATTTCCTGATAAGAATAAACATTAACATCAATTCAAGGACTAAAAAA